TTTGGTCAAAGCATCGAATCGTTGTTCTGTGTGGCATCCAAAAATATGGTTGCCATGACGTTCGCCAACCTTCGTAAGGAGACGGCGCTATAAGAAGAAACTTGTACTCGCACTTAATTTTTAAATTAATAAAAATTTACGAACTTGGTTGGTTTTAATTTACGGAAGTATTACACATTTCATGTGCGCAATTATAAATCCTACGGTGAAGGCAAACATCGTCAGGTAACCCGCATGTCTCAAATCGACGAAATGTGTCAGACAAGATGCTGATAGTAGATAATCAGTAATCAGTCTAAAATTTTTTTTTCGAAAAACGGATGCAATTGCCAAAAACCATTTAAGGCATCGCCATTGGATTGTTATTATTATACGCGTTATAATTGGGTAACAGAGTAACAGTGAGTTTTGACAGACCTCGAGGCCGATACTCGCTGGACCGATTAAGTAAAGGTCCTTACGTGTTTTACCATCACCCAGGTGCAGAGGCTTGGCGAAGACAGGAGAGAGTGGAGGAAGTTGAGCGGCGCCACTAACACGACCTTGAGAAATGAAGAGTGTGACTGAAAACGAACCGAAAGGGAAAAAAAAATTGTTATCTCTCATTATCTGTTATTTTTTTTCTTTGATTATTGTTATTACGTGTGTTTTTATTAGTAATAAATGTTATGTCTATGTCTATGTCTAAGAAGTGTAACAGTAGTGAAACCACGGGTAAGGTAAAAGGGTAAATTACACCCTAACCTGACCTAATTATGTAAGAAACAAAATATATAAAAAATATTAAGGCGAATTCAAAGCACTACATAGAACAAAGAACCGCTGAAATTAGGCGCTGCGGGCGCTAAAACACGTAATCCTCTTACACACATTCAAAATAAATAATGGTCGCCTAAATTGTTTGTTTATTGTCCCTTCCAACATTGCCAACAGACAGTTCTTCTCTGTACCTATATAATTTTTTAAAGATACAATGGAACTCGCAACGCAGGTAATTACCCAAACACTGTTTAAATAGGGTCAAACAAACGTTAAGTTACGATCATTTTGTTTGCATGCCCTTTCGAGCTATGATTGTTAATTACATCGACCCACTGAGATGAATGACGTCATTGGATGACAATTCACGCCCTTGAATGTTAGTGTCGTTTACCATTCCTCATTTCACAAATATTGTCTTTATTTTGAAAAATAGAAATTATTATCTATAACCGGGCAATCCAGAATTCCATTTTCGAATTCGAATTGAAAGGCTAAGGATTATCTGCTTGCGTGTTTAATTCCACTACCCTTATACCGCGATACAAAAATACTTTTTTCTATTGTAGATGTTGCCATAAAATTAATACCGACAAACAACTCGCCATATTGTTAAAAAACCTAAAATGTAAAAATTACGTTACCTACTAATCTTATTATAACGCATTTTTTTCGGAATATAAATTGTAAAATAGGGTATTTTACCTTATAATGCTTAAATAAAATATCAGTCGGCGTACAAATCCGATTCATTTAAAGAACTAGTATGTCCAGTAATTGTGACAGAAAGAAGAACCCAAAAACCGGTCATAAAATACATCGTATTTTTCAGTTATACCAAAAGTCACTCAATTATTATTGGAGATTTCGTGAAGATTTCAACTTTGATATTTTGCCTTCTACATTTCAACAATAAAAACTATATATTAATATCTCATTAATTACCTGTTTGTCATCAAACTGAAGGGTCAGTAAATAGTTAGACACATATTCATGAATTCTAATTAATCGATTAAAATTGATTATGATATTCAGAGATATTATTGAAAGACAATAACATTTGTTTGATAAAATGCTTGCTTTATATATTAACCGTCATAAAATATAATATAATATCTATATTACCACAAATCAAGGCCGACCTGAAGAACTGTCAAGAAATTCACGGCACTCCTTTTAATCTCCATATATCTCTTTATAAGATGATTTGATACGATTCTGCAATATTTTGCAATTGTTTTCTATTTTTTTATTTCATTTTAAGACCTCCAAAAGGGTACTACTGCCTACTGGACCTCTCAATACCCAGATGGAAAAAAATAAAATACCTTGATATCTTTCTTAATATATATAAATTACGTGTCACGTTGTTTGTCCGCAATGGACTCTTAAACTACTGAACCGATTTCAATCAAATTTGCACAACGTGTGTGGTTTGATCTAACTTAAAAGATAGGATAGCTTACATCTCAATTTATACCCGCAATATTATGTTATTGCAAATTATTTGTTAATTATTTGATAGTCACAATTCTAACAGATGGCGCTGTGTTGAAAGTACCAACGTTTCACATAAGCTGGCATTACCACCAAAAAAGCATGGTGGTCCCCATGACTGGTGTTCTCCTACCGTTTGCCTTGAATAGTTTACTACTATGTAATATAAGAAAAACCTTAGCCACAGCGATGCTTGGCCGGTCTGCTAGTTTAATTATATTTCTTCCTTGTCACAATGGAAATACAGAATACAATTTATTTGTATCTTAGAAACTAATAAACTAAAAAAATACTGAATTTAAAAAGTTCTCTAGCGTTTAACGCTACATTTTTCCTGAGTATCAGAGGCAATATTAATTTCCTATAATATATTAAAATACACGGTACAGCCGGTACAAGCCGCTAGTATGGAATAAAGGTCTCCTTGTGTTACCTAGGGTTAAATTATTAGACAATTACGTTGATTTTATGTTAAGCTCAGATAATGTTCATATAGTTTATTATAACGTTTGAAACATTAAAAAATAATTAAATACTTGTCGAAAGTAAATGTCGATTTAACTATACGGACGTAGCCAAACAACTTCGAAATCAAAGGCGATGCGTATAAAATGTAGAGATATTAAATATTAACATAAACGAAAGATTAATTATTTAGACTTTATAGCAGGCAAATTCAAACCTTTTAAAATATAGTTATATTAAAAATGTATATATAAGATAAAATCTGTAAATATTTAGACTATTGGGCCTAGTCTTATCAAATCGAAGTCGTTATATTACATAAAGCTATGAGTGTCTTTATCACTTCTGTTCTATTTAATCAACACATAAAATGTTTACATTATAAATCTCGTGCGATCCATTAATACATTTTTAATATATACTACGTACTACGATGCTTTACTGAAGCCTTACAAAGAACATGGAAGTGAATCTTCCCAGAATCAGTTCAACTAATTGGTTCCAATATGTAACTTTGGACTGGTCTACGTTAGATCGTTTAGATCGAATATTTGCTGACTAAAACATATTTGCGAACCCTATTGATTACTCAGTAAGGTGCACAAATTGAAAGTTTTTAACGCAAAGACAGATATATGAGGTTGTTTCATTAATGTTTTTAGAAAATTTAGAAAAATTCTTAGTGATCGACCGCTTCGTTCTGTGTTACCAAGAAATCGTGGTAACGTTACGAATAGAAGGTCGTGGTGATAATAGGTGCCAGGGAATTTGTTAAAGGAAAAATATCATATTTGTCTTATTAGATATAAAAAGTTACGTGCCCGCGTGCTGTAGGAGTACCCCACAAAACCACTGTCGTTAAATAGGAATTTTCAAATAAAAATGGCGATGCATTCCTGTTCTCAAAAAATAGAGCTGAATTTTCTTGCGAATACTGTCAAATGTGTAACACGTGACACGAAAGACAGGTGCCCCAAAAATATATTTTGTTGCAATCATTTCGTGTAGGCACCCTTTACACTTATATTTACCTTTATATAAAAGTACATATATGTCTTTATTCTATGAATACAATTATGTAATTTAATTCAAAAAGCATTTATTTATTATTATGTGTAAAGTTGCCTACCAACAATTTCCTTCCTAAAAACAATTAATTTCTTATATACGTATATATATATAAAGTAATTGTATTTAAAACTACTAACTAAAAATTAATATTTATAGCTTTTACTTTTCTCAAATTGTAAACTACTCAGGAATCAAAAATGATCCCTGCCTAAAATTTAAATAATCTAAGTAATATTTTACCGTGCTTTAAATATATTATTTTCTTGTAGAAAACCATTTATATTTTTATTATTATTTACATTATTTTTTTAGATGTCTTTAAGTACTATAAAATATGTACTTTAATAATTCTGTTACTTTTCCACTATTTTAAGTTTATAAACCTGTTTAATAGAAAATGAGCAACTTACCGATTTAAAATATTTTTATCTTGATTGGTTATCACTGCCTAAAATTAAAACAGCTACGACGTTACATATTTCAATTATTGTGACTACTGTTAACGATTTTTACACCTTTTTTATAAAATAGAAGATATTTTTACACGAAACTAACTTTATTTTTTAGCGATGAGACGACCGTGCAGCTGACAGCCGGCTTTTTCAAATGTCTATGATTTTTTACCGCCTTCGCGTCTGCGCTTTGCCGCTTTGGAAGGGTTACAAACTTAAAGATGTAACGTTTTAACGTGACTTTAACAAAATCATAACTTACGACTTAGTCGATAATTAAAGTAAAATTTATTGGGAATACAGTATTACGACCTTATTATTAATATCAATTAAGACAATAACAATAGAAAATTAATATCTTTTAATTTAAAGTACCGCGACATCTAGTAGCACATTAAGGCAATAGTTATTTTTATAATAATGACTTATTAGTAAATGTTTTCATCCAATTAAAATTGAATGTTTTCGTGGTAAACAAAATATTAATTCTAGATGAATTTTAATTAAATAGTATTTTTTGTTAAAATATTTGATTTTAGTTCTACATAATCTGTGGCACTTTGGGCAGACTTTCATAGAGTAGATTTTGTAAAGGGTACAGAGTACAGACTTCATAGCTCAGCTTCAGACCTTCAGTTCAGTGTCAAACTTCAGTCTTCAAACATTATCTAAGTTCATAAGTTGCACAATCCCGAAATTAATAGGTTATAATTTTTCATAGTTTATAACCAATTTTTCTTATTGTATCGCATCGAAATGGCTCAGAGTAAACTTAATGACATGGCTGGAAAGTTTGCTAAAGGTGGGCCTCCAGGACTCGGCATTGGACTAAAGGTGGCAGCGGTACTCGGTGCAGCAGCCTATGGCGTTTCTCAATCCTTGTATACCGTCGAGGGTGGCCATCGTGCTATTATATTCAACAGAATTGGAGGTATCCAGAATGACGTTATGACTGAAGGCTTGCACTTCCGAATTCCATGGTTTCAATACCCAATAATTTTTGACATCAGATCCCGTCCTAGAAAAATTTCCTCGCCTACAGGATCCAAAGATTTACAAATGGTTAACATATCTCTACGTGTTTTATCCCGCCCGGATTCAAATAGTCTTCCAATAATGTATAGACAGCTTGGTAAAGATTACGATGAGAAGGTCTTACCATCAATTTGTAACGAAGTCCTGAAATCTGTTGTCGCCAAATTTAATGCTTCTCAACTAATCACGCAACGTCAACAAGTGTCATTGCTTATAAGAAGAGAATTAGTTGAGCGTGCTGCTGATTTCAATATAATTTTGGATGATGTTTCACTGACTGAATTAAGCTTTGGAAAAGAATATACTGCTGCAGTTGAAGCCAAACAGGTAGCACAGCAAGAAGCTCAAAGAGCTGCTTTTGTTGTGGATAGAGCTATACAAGAAAAACAACAAAAAATTGTACAAGCTGAGGGAGAGTCTGAGGCAGCAGAAATGTTGGGTAAAGCAATGGGAATGAGTCCAGGTTACCTTAAGTTACGTAAAATCAGAGCGGCCCAGAGCATTTCCAGAATGATTGCTCAATCACAAAATAGGGTATTCTTACCAGGTAATAGCTTAATGATCAATCTCCAAGACCCTTCCTTTGATGACCTGTCTGAGAAACTGACTAAGAAGAAGTAACAGGAAGCCATGGAAGAGTATGCCCATAAGCTTGAACCAATGCCTACTCTTCTAGAAAATGAAGCCTATTTAATAAGCAGTGCTTCTTCAATTACTATATAAACAAAGTTATGCATTTTAGTACATGTATCAGGGTTCAATTTTATTAACTTGCATTTTTTGTTACTTAGGTGTAGATAATATAGTTGTGTATTTGTTCTGTAAATCATAATGATTATAAAAGATTTAACATCTCATAGCTTGTTTAATTTGTTTTGTTAACTTAAGAAAAGGAAAATATTTTTTTATTATAAAACTATTGATATTAAATATTTATATATTATTCCAACACAACATATGCCTTTGACATCGGACCCCTGGGGGACTACCATGAGCATTCTTAAAGCAATATAGTTGAGATGCTGATGAGTTTAGACTCCTAAATTTAGTATGTTCGTTTTCATACCATGGCCTATAAACTGAAACGTATTGGAATTGTTGATCGCAAGACTGAACGAAACAACAATCATTTTGTTTGAGGTTTCTATTGTAAGTTCTGAAATTTAACTGTTAAACTTCCATGGACAGATGTTTCTATAAAAATAAATAAAATTATTTTAAAACAATCACAATAAGCTATAATTAAATAATTTTAAATGTAAAGTTTTCTGATGCTATAATAGTTGACATAGTACACACAGAGTCGCAATTTAGGAATGCATTTAGACCGCAGAATCACCTGGAAAAAACATATTCAAACAAAGCGAGACGAAATTAACCACAAATAGGGTCTCTACTGGCTAATGGGACGAAATTCAAAACTATCCATTGACAATAAGTTGCTTTTATACAAAACATACTCAAGCAAATATCAAACACCCCATGGTTTTCTCAAAACAACACAAGTCCATGAATTTCTTAATATGCCGATGGTAAAAGCGGAAATAATCACACATGGGTATAACTACAAACTAAGACTTCAAAAGCACCCCAATCAGCTAGCAGGACAGCTAACTATACCAGAATCTACACAACGACTAAAAAAGCGCAAGACATTTTTGACCAGGACAACACAACAGACTGAGTTTAAATAAGAATAGCCAGACTCCGCTGGGAGTAGCATCTAACACGTCAAGAAGCACTCAACGTATCTACTTATAGTGGCAAAGACTGATTGTATGATTAATATTTAAATTTAAAAAAAAGGTACTTAAAAACAATGTCATGGGCTGTTGCAACTATCGGTTTTTACAACCACATGAGTAGTTCAATGTCGTTACAACAGATTTTGACCAATATAAAAACTTTTTATATTAACACCTTAAATTTTATTTTTAACCTTACGTTTAAATAGTAAACCTTGTGTAACACACAAAGTAGTAAAATACTACACCTTAAATGCGTTTTAATGTATTAGGTAATTAACATAAAACCACTAAATATTTTACTGCTAATATTTATTTATATATATAACATTATCTAACATTAGACCATTGAATTATTATATTTACTCCTTCTTAAGAGCTGAAGGCTGAGGCAAGCGATATTTAGCCATCTCCTTCTCTGCTTCAAAGTAACTCATATTGTCATAGAGAAAATATTCTGGAACCTTATATGGGCCATTTTTACTTGGATCTACTCCTGGGCCAACAGGCTGAGATGATTTGTGAATTACAGCATTACTCAAACCAGGAACTTCCGCAGACGATATCGAACCTTGACTTTGACCTGTTCCTTCACTAAAGTATCTTCCAATTACAATTATACTTCTTTTCATACTATGTCTGGTAAACATTTTTGGTTTGATAGGTTTTTATGATTCACCTCGAAATCAGATTTGTGATTACACAATCCCATAAATGTCAAAACAATGATTATCTCATTCCTGTAGTCTGTGAATCTGTCTTCTTCGTTTACAAAAACTGTTGTTTGTTTGAAAATAATATTATGTATTTGTCCAATTGAAATATGTATATAAGCTAACAGTTTTCGACATATGGAATTTAAAACATATTGGGTACTATTTTTTTTAACTAGCTCTCATTCAAGTTCCGATATATAATGACGTTATAGCCTATAGGTCAACATTCGCGCGGTAAAAGTTTCACCGTGCAACATTATGATTTTGTGTCTATGACGTTATGAAAACATTTTAATTTTAAAAGTTGCTCCATAATAATTTAGTTTTAATAGTTACGAAATTTTAAGGGACAACGCTGTATAAAATGACAATAGAAGTTTATTAATTTACCGTAATAAAAATAGTTTGTTCGACGTAGAATACTTTAAATGGCTGTTTGTCCTCAAAATTTAACTATTTTTAAATAAATATCGTATTACAGTATACAAAGACAAGTTCATTCTATTTTTCTTCGGTGGTTTGAAAAAAAGAGAGTGAATCTAATGCCATATACGACCTCAATCGCCGCGCTTCTATTACTTACGCTTGTTATCATACCTTATAACTACGGTATATATACGGTATAAGTCATGGAAATTAAAATAATGACTATAACTACATTTATTTTAAGAAACAAGAATAATTAAATGTAGACCTCGTCTTAATTATGTTTTTTTTGCTTGTCTTTGGTTTTAAAATGCTACAGATGATAATAAGCTAAGTAAAGCTTAACCTAACCTATGATAGTAATAGGCAAAGAGAGCACGGTGTCTATTGATATTATTCTAGCTTGTCTTTGAAACATTTTCACGACTGTTTTGGATAGGTAGCTAAGTTGCCTTGCATAAAATCGCCGAATATTCTATCAAATCGAGGGAAAATGTATTTACTTTAATATTATTTACTATTATTCGTGAATAAAAATGGGCTATGAATAGATATAACGTGGTTCTGTTTGTGTTGATTCTGATAAACAGCAGTTCAGCCATTTACATGAAAGGTGAGTACAAAAAATGGGCAAGTACCTAGAATTTTTTGTTTTACTGTTACGGGTTAAGATTCAGGTATTAAATTATAAACGCTTGGTAGAATTAATATTAACTCATATTTCTTATTGGTTTATGTTAGAAAAAAGCATGCACTTATGATTCTGTATTGTAATAAGCGCAGGGCGCTGTTTATAATAATTATTGTAGTTGTGTATATTATGTACTTACTGTATAGCACACTAGCACACTATGTAACCCGGCAAAATCAAAACGTTTCTCATAAACGTCATTGCTACTTCAAACTCTACTCTTTTTGCTGTAGTATGTTGTATCTAAGATTCGCTGGTATAATCTAGGACAAATGGATCAATAATATTATGTTTAATAAATAATTGCGGCTGAGATACGTAACCTTTTAAGGTAATATAATTATTTTAAATCCAATACGTACTATAACGAGATATTTGGCTAGTAGGGTACCGTGTATGTTTGTCATTTGTGTAATGCGTCAAATTAAAAATGTATCTTTTTCTCTGTAGTCTATGGTTTTTTCATATATATTTTTTAAAAGTGTTGCCACAATAGTAGTTTTACCAGTCTAACTGTTAGTTTTGTTTTCCTTTTTGTGGGAAAAATATCTATCTTCATTGTTTTCTATTCGATCCGAAACAAACGGAAAGTTTTTGTGTTACAATTTCAGCTTTTTTTATTTTTCTTTACGATAATAGTATATATTTTCTTAATGATAGGGTGGACTAGTAGCTAGTAATTAATTAAAATGCAAAATAAATCTTGAAAACATTGTTTTCTTGTATGAGAAAATATATTAGACGTATTATAAATGACACCGCACATTTCAAAATAAAATAAAGATATTCCAAATTTAAATGTAGTGCATCATAGATAATTGTATGTGGACAGCACCATGACCTTAAATAGAAGCTAGTAAAACGTTGTCTGGACTCTGGACCCAAGAGCAGTTTTGGAAATATTTGGTTGGCAACACATTTTTTTATTTCGTTCATCATTAGTTATTGGTTTGCCGCTATATATATATTTGAGCTTTTTTACATACTTTACCCAAAATTCATAAGTGAAAACATGAATTTATAAAATATTTCATGCAGTTAATCGCCTTACTACTATAAAACTTGTTAAGAATTATAAAGGTGGATCGTAAAATGGCGAAGTCGGCGCCTGTGAACGATGTGCTATGTAGCGCCGTGGAATATTTAGTGAAGCTTGGTTCTAATCTACGAAGACGTTCTGAGACGCTAAAAGATAAACGGATAAAAAAAGAAAAACTAAGAAATACGCTAGCCGTGCAAAAGGCGGCTAATAAGGTTTTACTTTTATGCGAATTGTCGAAGAAATCGATTGTGACTGTTGAATCCAGTGTCAACACCATTTTATCTCAAATCAAAACTCTTCAAGGCAGTGCATATAGCGGGAAAAGTTATAGTTCAGAAAATATCTCCAATTACGAATATTTTGAATATAACTCTAGGCGGCTAAAAATTCGACAAAAGTTTAATTTAAAGCACTATACTTCTGCCAAAGTAGTAGCAACTGCAATGCCAACTTCTCTAGCAAGCAAATATCCAGTGTTTTACGATTGTAAATTATTAAGATTGCGAAAGAGAGCTAAAAGAAATGAAGAAAATTCTAAATCCACAAATTCTGAAACATTTAAATCTGTGTCATTTAATGATAGCATTGTTGTATGTGGAGAAAATGAAAAAAGTGGTATTGCATGTAGTAATAGTGATGAACTAAGTCAAAATCTTGTAGCTGAAGGTAATAAAAAAAATCCAACAAAGAGAAAGCTAAGTTCATCTGAAGATGGCTCAGAGGACTGTACAAAATCAATCAATAGAAAAAAGGTTAATAGTATTGAATTAGAAAGAAAGTCCAGTAAAAAAGGTAACCCATATGCTAATATAGAAAAACAGGATTTAGTAAAAAACAACCCTGAAAAGAACTCTACTGTAAATGAAATGAATAAAAATGATGGAACTGACAATTCTATCCAGACATCTTTTAATGAGAATGTAATGGAGTCTTTAATAAATAAAGATACTCATGCAGAAGATGAAAATGATATTAAGTCTAATGATGAAAGAGAGGAAGAAAATTTGAAATCTCAGTCAGAAAATATTGCAATTACAAATAATTATGAAAGTGACAGAAGTGAAGATTCAAATTCTTCTAAAAAAACTTACATCAAATGTGTTAACATAAATAGGCTGTTAAGACCTGACAAAATTCCAAAAGATCTGCCACCAGTAGTAATAGAAAGTGACAGTGATGACAATCTTAATAAAAACCCTAAGCCAAAAAAGAAATCTAAGCATAAAAGTATTAATTCAAAGTGCAATTTAACAACCTTTAAAACCTATACACAATACGGGAAAAAAGAGAAAGATGTACACAATTTCAAACCATGTAAATTTAGTATACATATTACTAGATTGCCTAAATTGACACCTGAGTATTTACTTTCCCAAAATTTAAAAAGAATTGTCCAAAATGAAACAGTATTATGTGAAATATCCTCAACAGTTGTTACAGATATACCAAGTGAACAAAGTGGTAAGTCAAATGATGGTAAAGAAAAATTAAAGCTAGATGAAGACATCTTGGCAACTAAAACTTCTTTACTCCATCACTCAGACTCAGAACTATCTGATGATGACACCAGTAATGTAAATGAAACAGTAAAAAAGCAACTTCTTTGTGACTCGGACTCTGACAAAGAAAACCCAAAAGACAATTCACCGTATAATAACAAAAATGATAGTGGTAAAGAAGCTATACATACAAATGAAACAATAGAACAAAATCTAGATAAGGATAAGTGTATTGAAGACAGAGTTAGAAAAAAGTCAAACAGCATAGATAGTGATAGTAATAATATAGTCCAACAAAAAGAAAGTAAACTGGATTCACACAGAGTTTTATTAACACCAGACATTACCAACAAAGAAACAAATGAAGATTGTGATTTATTTGATAAGTTAAAGGATTCTGTAGAACAATCTGATAACAATGAATGTATTGAGACACCAGAATCAAAACAAATAAGACTCTTTGATAGTACAACAAAAAGAAAGTTTCTATCTTTTTCATCAAGTTCAGACACAGAAGATGAACAGCTTAAAAAAACATATGAGAAGATAAGAGAAGATTTACTTAGAGACAGTCCAGAAAAAGAATTGCTAAATAAATCAGGATCTGAATCATCCAAATCAAATACTAGTGGGGATAGTGATACTAAATTAAAGAAACGCAAGTTAACTAAAAGAAGAGCAAATGAAAATAGCAAGGTTAGGATTACATAAACTTACATTAACTTTTATACTACACCCGCTCAGAAAATACATCATAGCTCTTTTCATCAAAAGGTAGAACAGTAGTAGTAATGTTTATCACCAAGAGCAGGAAAATGATATGTTAAGTCATTGTTAACATTAACATTTTCTCTTTTTACCTTTGTAAAATTCAAAGGATAGGAATTAATAAGATTTTGTTTTTATTTTCCTTGTAGGTGTAGTAAAAAGCGCTATGTATAAATCCAAAGTGTGATTCTGATCAAAGGTGTAGTTTAAGGCACATCATTGGGTTCGTCCAAGGGCCACAATACACCTGAGCTCACACTACAATCACTTTCTTCCTTAATGTACAATGTTTTATAGTGGACTCTTAATAATTCTTATATATAATTCAGCTTACATTTTATCATTGCTTATTTCTAAATTTTATATTCTCCTATATATAATAAATAGTACTAGGCCATTGTCAGGTCTCCTAGATGGATCTTGCACTGTTAAGAGTAAAATGATAAACAATTTTAGAATTTTGGTCACAGTAGCAGTCCAGGGTGCTAAGATAGGATTAATTTATCTCTATCTATAAGATAAATATTGTTACAAATAATAATTGATTAAATATTCAGAATATTCTGTATTTTTATTTCTCCTACATGAGAGTTTTTTATTAAGAAAATATAACTTACAGATGGATTCTAATGGTAAAACGAGCAGCAGCAGTGATGATACAAATAATGAAGATAAAGCAATAAATGGGTAACTAGAGTAATGGCTTGGCATTAAATTAACGGGTTTTAAAGAGATTTAATTGGACTGCATGTCTGTATGTGAAAATAAAAGCTTGTTACAAGTTAATATTTGTTCATTATTCAAGTTGCAATATGTAAACACTAAAATATGAGTATTATTTTCATGATTTATATTATTTCATTAAAAGCTGCAGCTACCATAGTTCCATACATACATTTTGTGAAATAAGACAAATTACTGGTGAAGGGTTCGTTTTATTAATAAGGAAGTATTGTTAACCAAAATATAAGTGAATCCATGTTATAGAAAGTGTTCCACAGAAGAATATGTTTTACTATATACTTGTAAGTGTTAAGTAGAGAAACAAAATCTGCAGTGTATGCTTATATAGACATTTAGGACAATTATTGAGTCATCAATATTAATTTTTAATTGTATGTAGAGAAACTAGTCTTTATTTGACGATTATCACCAAAATCAAAAGAAAATATTTTTCCTTGTGATCTTGATTCTAAACAAAATATTATCAGTTAACTATGTTTTTGATATTGTTGGACTTAAATTCCAATATGTAGAGTTCCAAGTAAGTATAATGTTTACACAAATTTCACACAAGAAAACAAAATCACTGATATGTTTTCGGTTTTAAACAGGTTCCAACTTTAATTTTGAACTTAGTGAACTGTCTGTATCTCCAAAAAAGTTTTTTAAGATATTGGTATCCAAGTATCTGGTTCTACCATACAAGTATAATATTTTATTATATAAGTACATATACATATATAATTTTATTGAAAATGTTGAAAATTCTACTAAAACTTAATAGCTATAGTATTAACAGGACTCATTTTTGAAGTGAAACTTCTTTAGGCGCATGAGGGTAAAATTTTTACGGATGAAACGCAATAATAATAATAGTAGCGTCACGAAGATGTGCAGCGTTTTTGTCGAAGAAAAGGGAGAGATCGATTGAGAGAGAGTGAAAGGGCAAGATCGAGAAAAAGTTTAGTAGTTACATATTAGAACTATAGATGGCAATTCTGTCGCATAACGTCTTGTGCAGTAAACGCAGATTTTTTATTTATTTATATTATCATTAGCACGTATACAGTGTGAATATAGATATACAAATACATCGAGTGATCATATACTGGCACATGATCATCAATTGGAGCTTTTTTACAAAGATGTTTCATTTCCGACTTGTGTACTTTGTACGCACGCACGCACTTTTTTGTTCTTTATAGCTATATATATATATATAGTATTTTCAGTTTTGTTGTTTATAACTCAATTATTAATACCGAGTGAGGTTTAACATATGTATATAACTTTAATATGTCTAGGTTAACGAACCTCCGTACGTTGAAGAGGTCTCGCCGTCAGCGGACCGAAAAACGCGATCTCCTGCACGAGTACAGAATGGCCAAAATGCCAAATGTGCCAGTGATCAGTGAAGAGCATTTACTCGAACCGGAATCCAGTTCAGATGTCCCGTCTCCCGCCGCCAATGAGGACTGCGAAGGTAAAGTGAAATAGGATTCCTTATATGGAAATTGTATTCGTTTTTGCAACAAACTCCCAAGCGAAATTAGAGAATTAACACTTAATAAATTCAAAGCCCACGTTAAACGTAAATTAATCAATAAAGCTTTTTATAAATTTGACGAGAATTGTATTTCTTTTAGTAGTCTGCATAATTTTTTGGATAAGTGAAAGGGTCAAAAGAAACTCTAGTTAAAGTTTTATAAGGTAATTCTTTTAATTGATCTTCAAAAAACTTACAAAATCATTTTATCTACTATCCTCAGGAACGTAGGATGAAAATAGCGTATTTTGGTGATTTGTGATGTTTTTTTAGTTTATTTAAGCAATAAAAATAAAATAACATAGAAAATCGTTTATCATATACTAGTAGACTCGGCCAAGTGTTGTTGTGGCTAAGGGTGAGATCTATAGTGCGCACTTAGACTTTGCTCTGACTTAACTATCGAGCTAAGACACAGTCGGTATTTATAGAGCAAACTACGAATCTCTCCCTAGTGTTGGCTTAGCTTAATCTCAAGTCCACGAAATCGACGACTTACCAAAAACTTTGACTATAAGCCTAACAAAAATAATGGCCCAAAATTTGCTTTACCATCATATCTTTTACTGGACTTTTTATTTTTGTCGGTTTTTAATGAACGGTGTTGCCATTTTGTATCGGAGTTCCATAGACTTTGGGAAAAATAGAATTTGAATTCAAAGAAATTATAAATGATCTTGATAAATACCTATGAAATGCATGAAATAAAATAATTACACATTATTATGGTATTTATTGTTGTTTATTTATATTATTTATGTAATTGTTCAAACCCCATTTTTGAGAAATCTTAAAAATAACTGGTGTGATTTTGTATGTCACCTGGCAGCCCTGGCAATTGGCATATTATAGTGACAACGAAATTCAAACTATAACCTAACCAAAACATTGCGATCCGTTCTACGTAATAAAATTATTGTCATCTTTAAATAATTAATACATTTTCTAAAGGTTACTCGTGAATTTCTAGTTATTGCAATAATAAAATAAATGAATACATAAATAACAATAAATTGAAGATATATGTGTACCGTTTTAGATTTTTAAATATTTGTTATTGTTAACTTTTTTAAAGGATAATAAACAAAGTATTGCATGAAATGAAACATCAATTTGTATTTTGACATTTTCTGTCTTAGCTTGGGCTTAGCTTAATCTCACCGTTAAAATGTCTATAAATACGAAATCATAGTTTAACCTTAGTGTACACTAAGCAAAGTTTTTCGTAAGGTAAGTCTGAGCAAAGTCCAAGTGCGCACTATAGATCTCACCCTAAGATTTTTGTTATATTACATAGTAGTAAACTATTCAAGAGAAAAGGCAGGAGAACACCAATCCACCATGCTTTTTTGGTGGTTATGCCATTAAATTGCAGCTTATGTGAAACGTTGGTAATTATTTTGATAAGGATCAATACGAGGTACTAGGTACGAATAAAGAGCCTTTTCTAGCGGTGGAATTTTAATAAAAAAAAAATTAATAAAAAGGACGCTTATTGTGACGTAACTATAAAAGATAGACATGCTGTCGTGACATTTTTTATAGATAGTGATGTGTCCTGAAAAATTGTAATACATCATTTTGTTCTATCATTAATAGTTTTCGCAGCGCACACGATTGAAGGAAGTTTTTTGTTTATTACCTTGGGTTAGATTATTTAAGTTTTAGTAAGCATCCCTAATTTTTTGAAAATGAAACAGCCTATGTCACTCGGGAATAGTGTAGCTTGCCAACGGTGAAAGAATTTTTGAAATCGGTCCAGTAGTTTCGGAGCCTATTCATTTGAAACAAACAAAAAATCAAACCTTTCCTTTTTATAATTTGAATGGATTTGGTTGAATGGAATGCCCACAAAATATTAAATTACATAATTTTGTTTATAGAACTGCCATCAGTCGCTGTGCCTGGCTTAAATGGAGACAATGATTCGTTGGCTAAAGAAGACTTATTAGGTGATAGTGATACCTCGACATCGCAAACTGAACTAAATTCACAGGTAAATACAGAATCCAGAAGTTGAAGTTTTAGTTTGACTTCTGTTCAAAAATGTATTGGATTTTAATATACGGGAGTCACATTTATGACATATTACTTTGTAGTTATACGCCCGCTCTTCGACCTTCATTGGGGAACTGGTGAATTTAGATCTTCCTTTAAATGATGTTCGTACATAGTTACAGATGTGATTATACTCTGATTTTTCATTCCGTATAATTCTGATATTTCATAAGTGTTGCTACTAAAAAAGTTCTACACCGAATAGGGGACAAATTTGACCCATTTGAAGGCAATAAAAAATTAAAATGCGACGTATTTTTTATGTTCTATCTACGAAAAGGTAAATCTAAATATTTACTTAGTCAAGTGCCCTAATACAAAAATAACAAATATTTCAATATCACGAACAATCACTAAAATAAAATGTTATCTTTACTTTTACGTTTTTTACTGTTAGTGATGAAAAGGGACGTAATTATCACTCGCCGTAAAACCACTTCTAATGTGGACCACCGTACTTAATAAAATGGATACATTAACTAACAATAATATGTATGTATAGACTCAGATGTTCATACTCGTATTGAAATAAAAAAATGTGCCCGGCCAAAAAAGGTTTGTCATCTCTGACATGTCAAAAAATGATAGCTGTCAGAATTCTACGGAATAAAAAACCAGAGTATAGTAAATGTTGATGTTACCCTAAACAATAAATTTATCTAGAGCAGTGTTTCCGAACAATTTTTGTGGCATGCCCCACCTTTGCCTTTCTAAAATTCTTATGAAACATAATGTTTTCTTTTTCTAGGAGGATAAAGGAAATTCAGAAGAGGAAAAGTAAGTCTTAATATTTTTAATAATAATACATAAATAGTAGTGTTGGCCTAGTGGCATTAGCTTGCGACTCTCATCGAACCCGTGATTTGCAATGGATTTGGTCTATATGCCCACTTTACGCTAAGGAAGGAAATATCGTGAGGAAACCAAAAAATCCGCGTATGTCAGACACAGAAGGCTGATCTATTAGAAAAATATCAAGAAACACAGCCTTTAAACAGGTAATGCCACTGTTTTATTAATTCTTCATTTGTAGGACTAGGAACATAATAATATAATTTCATATAATCAGAACTCTATATGGTTATTATTATGTTACAATATTGTCCTAAATACTATACTAGTAGTAGTAGTACATATATGGTACAAACTGTTCATTCAGACAGCAAATTTGTGTTAAATAATTTGGTAGATTTTACAATTATATATCACATTATTATTAAAACTTCTCAGTCGTATTCTTCATTTCTGAAGGTCGACACGTAAGATTCCTGCTACTCTGCCGGATATTCACCATGCTCGGCCTGTAGCTTCCCTTAGCGCAGCTGTTATGGGAAGACCCGTGGGAATCGTGACTTGGTTACACCAGCGGGTTGGCGATCTGCCACGCGGTCTTTTGCCTTGTATAATTATTATAATTAATTAATAATAAATGTGATATGATAATCATCATCACATTAATTATTTGAAGAGGTCTATTAGATAAGAGTGAACATTTATTTAATAAATTACAATATAAATCGAAATTTTCGTCTTTAATCAATTTAAAAGGGTATTAAAGATAACCGTCCGAATCTCAGACTAAAATTAGGACGGCTGTCCGATAGCAAAGTGCATTACGTTCATATATTAAGTTTCTCATTTAAAATTATCATTTTGTATTGAGAAATAAAGTTGTTTTAAGAAATTTTTATAAATTACAATATTTCACTTATAATTAATGCTATCCCATTCTTAGTTGCTAATACATTTTTATTGCTATACAAAAATCGATTCTAAATTCTATTTTGATTTATGAAATTCCCAAAATTGTATTTAAGTGTTAACAAAAACGAAATATTATTAACTAAAAATTTAAATTAAACTTTTATCGATTTTTTTGTAAAACGTTACGATGCGGGGCGGGGATTGAATTACGCGTTATTGTTACTATTATTTTCGAGTTTCCAATACTTTACCGTAACTTTTAGGTGTAAAGAGTCATTGGGTGGTCACGAAACGTTTTACTATTAGGTACAGAAAAACGTTGCGGCGCGTTACATTAGGCAAAATAATCTCCTTCTTCTTATAGTGCCATCTCCTTGCGAAGATTGGCGATCATCATGGCTAGTTTAATTTTGGATGCCGCGCTTCTAAACAATGACTTGGTGCTTTGACCAAACCATTGTCTCAAGTTTTTCAACCAGGACGTGCGTCTGCGGCCAGGTCTCCTTCTACCTGCCACTTTGCCTTGTATGATTAGTTGAAGGAGCTCTTGGAGGAGGAGATTTTTTTTTTATATCAATAATCTCCAAAACTCCCAAATTAAGGTGTAACTTATTTTAAAAACGTAATATGAACCCTATTTTTTTTATTTCAGTGTTATATCAAAACGTCGCAAAGGGAATGCAATATCGTCGGATTCGGAGGCGGGCTCCTCGCGAAGAAAGGATCACAGAATGAGTGATTTCGAGGATTCGGAAGATGATGGTTCAGAAACGGTTAAGAGGAAACGGAAGAAAAATAAACGGTTGGACGAAGATAGTGAGGGTTCTGGCTCTAGTGATGGGTGAGTTTAATGTTTATAATAAATATCTACGAACTGTAGGAATTAAGTTCATCATATAATTATTTTTATTAAGTTAAATATAATTAAAAACGCGGTCTATTACGTTTGTTGACATGGTTACAATTAATTATATAAAACGTAACCATGGTAACAGAACAGCATAAAGCATATCTCGAGACATATCATGAGCGATGTCAAATAGTTGTCATAACATATTATGTATGATATATCAGGTAGATATTATAGTATTATATAAAAAAATCTAAAAACTTGATTTAAGTGTATGGCGTTCCAGAATACGTTATACGTATTATAATTAATATTTTTTTAACAATAAATAAAAAGGAAAGAATACAGTTAAAGTCAAGGAAATTTCGTACAAATTGATGTTACCAAAGTCCTATTTATAACAAAACTCATCAACATTGGTTCAATCACCATATTGCAAATTCTAGTATCTCAAATTACATACAGGAAAAATGGTTTGACAGATTCTAATGCATAATGCCTTAATAAGTTTTGGAGATTTTTTTATTATTATTTAAAACTCAAACTCAAAATATCTTTATTCATGTAGGTAAACAAGTACACTTATGAATTGTCAAGTTAAATGAATTGTAAATTTACATTTACTATCAGTTCGCAAGTCAAGGGCGTAGAGCGGGTAAGAAGAACTGGCAAGAAACTCTCCGCCACTATTTTTAATCGCCATGTATTGTCATACAAATTGTTTGTAAAAATCCCCTAAATTCGATATTATTGTTACACCAATCTCATATTCTTGTGATAATCCTAAATATACTTTTCACAGCAAAAAGAAGAGACGACGAATAAAGAATATAGATGACAGTGATGGATCAGGTTCGGAAACGGAAAACGAAGGCCGGAATAAACATGGCAGAAAGAATATTCGTAAGGTAATAAAAACTTGTGGATGAATGGAAGGGAATCAGCAGTAAGAGCAGTGTTGGCCTAGTGGCTTCAGCGTTCGACTCTCATCCTTGAGGTCGAAGGTTCGATCCTCGGCTGAGCACCAATGGACTTTCTGTCTATGTGCATTTAACATTCGCTCGAACGATGAAGGAAAACATCGTGAGGAAACCGGCCTTAGACCCAAAAACTCGACGGAGGCTGATCAACTACTTGCCTAATATATTGACATGTGGGCCAGATCGAAAAAGGTTGTAGCGACAAATATAAAAATTAACGGGCTAAAAATAATGTAGCGCCATCTACTATGTGCGATCGAAGTCGACCTTAGCCATATCGGGGCCTTTGGACCAGTTCAAAGTCGAGTATACTCTGAAGGTCGAAGGATGTCTGATCCTTCCTCCACAACAAACAAAAAATGAAAATACCAGCTTCTTCCTTTTGACGAAATTCAGCGTAGGGCTTGACAAATTGTCAATCACCAATGTATTACTGGCTTGATTCTCTCTCTCTCTCTACGCAGAGACATACAAGTGTACTATGGAGAGTGTTCTGTAGGGTTTGGGTTGATCCCTTCTACCTCGTTTCATCACCGTATACTCCCTCAAAAGCACGGTAGGCACTAAAATTGGTGTCCATAAGCTCGTTTTGCCCCCTCGGCTTGTTTGTAGTTTATACTTAAAAAAAAAACAATCACGCCATTTATTTACTTCCACATAATTATTAGGAAAAATTCACTTTCTCGGCATTGATTCATATATTTTTTGCCAAATTAATTTGGAAACAAATCATAGCACTACATGTTTGAATAATTGATTTTATTTACAATTTATAAATAGCTAATCTGAGTATTTATACAGAGCTGTTTAACCATTAGTTTTCCAAATTATTAATATTATTGTGTTTCAGGTTATGGGTAAAAATCAACTCGAAGAAGCAACCAAGAAAGCGGCCCGAGAGGAGAAGGAAAGAATCGCTCGAATCACAGAAAGGCAAAAATTGGTAAGACAAATGTTTAATAACTTTAATATGTGTAAATTAATCATAACAATCAAATTTTACAATTGTAAACTTATAAAAAAAATAAAACGGATTTAAAAAGTTTGGTCCCTGCGGCAGTGTACCTTTAACGCTGGCAGCATTTCCTCGCTGTACTGCGATACTTATTCATTGAGCGAGGAAAGCACCAGCTCTGGGGTCACCGGTACCTACTATATCCAGGCGCCAACTTAAATCTTTTATTAGCACCTGTGTACTTGAACCCCACGGCCCAAGAGTCTCTACTCCAAAGAGAACAAAATCGAAGTTGGAGGACAGACTCTTATATTTGAGGCGTTAATTATTTTCCGCCTGCTCTACGGACGCCCCAGCATTTTTGCTTGTCCGCGGGAGGTGTGACAGGGCAAACGTATCCACGCAAATTTATATAATGAACTTTGCCATAGGGCTTTAAAAGTTGCATATTCGGTGATATATTTGTTCTCATTTGCACATTCCAATTTTATTACTTACTAGCGGCTCCCTCCGGCTTCGCACGGGTAAAATATATAGCCTATGTCACTTACTGAAAAAATGATTATAACCGATCCAGTAGTTTTGATTTATTAATTACTGCCCGTGGCCCGCACGCGTTAAATTTGGATATTTTGATAAATCTCGTAGGGTTCTCAGCCTGCGTTTGCAATGTAAGCGGAAAAAATGTACCTATTTACGACATCACATTAGAAAACTCAAAAATAACAGTATTTCTCCACTATTTAACGGATGTTATTATACATATAAATCTTCCCCTTCAATCACTCAATCTATTAAAAAAAACGCATCAAAATCCGTTGCGTAGTTTTAAAGATTTAAGCATACATAGGGATGTAGGGACAGAGAAATCGACTTTGTTTAATACGTAGTGATACTGTAACGGCTTGATTAACTGCAAAAAATTTTATAAATCCAACAAAATAACTGGAACGGCTTAAATAAATCGACTATATATATTTTATTTCTATTTCAGTACAATAACCTGCAATTTGACGAGTCTGGTAAACCTGATGAAGTGGTATTGGATAAAGTCATACTTGATTTTGATCCTGATACAAAGGAACCGACTATTGAGGTTGATAAAGGACTTGTCAGAAAACTTAAGCCGCATCAGGTAAGTTAATTATAAAATAAATTATGTATATTATAAATAAAAAAGCTATACAAAACTAAAAAATACTGATTATTACTTTAATCAAAATAAGTGTGGCGAATTAGGACTTTAGCTAAACCAAACTTATGGTCCTTCAAGGAAACAGCCTTTACTTAAAAGGATGGCAGCGCACTTGTGAGCCTTCTGTGCCAGTATGGGTGTTCATGGGAGAGGGTAATAGGCAAGCCTAAAAGTTCTATTTAAAAAAAAATACGTGTGGCACTCGGGGACTGCCGCGGTAAAGCTATTGCATAGCAATTTTTATAAACTTATGCAATATAATTATTTATTTTTTGCAGTATTTTTTTTTCTTTGATATTAATTCAAGTTTTTTCTTTGAAATTAATTTAATCTACCACTCTACCAGACTCAGACTAACACGCCTATCCCATCACGCTAAACCGATGTGAGACGCAGTATGCGTTCTGTCTAACGCGTATTGGCCGCACCTATATTACGTCATCGTGTGTTAGGTTTATTGCATTACGGAATTTTTTGATTCGGTCGCCGCGCTCAAAGCCCGCGATAAAATCTATGCAATAGCTTAAAAAACTATTTGGTCATTATGAATAGGGTATTCAAATGTGTTATCAGAGTATTGAGAGACGAGCTCACTCCATCTATGTTGAATCCATCATTGGCGGGCTTATTGGCGCATTTGTCAATCAAATAAATAGGCAAGTAGGTTATCAGCCTCCTGTGCCTGACATATGCCTTTTTCTTGGCTAAGGCATGTCGGTTTCCTCACGATGCTTTCCTGCACCGTTTGAGCGAAAGTTAAATGTGCACATAGAAAGAAAGTCCATTCGTACACAGCCGGGGATCGATTCTACGACCTCAAGGACGAGAGTCGCACCCTGAAGGCACTAGGCCAAAACTGTTGCTGCAAATAACATTTCCTGATAATCCTAGCATTCATTGACAGTAGACATATATATATTTAATTTCAGGCAAACGGTATAAAGTTCATGTGGGACGCTTGCTTCGAGAGCGTGAAACGAATCAAGAAGGGAAAAGGATCTGGTTGTATCTTAGCGCATTGTATGGGACTCGGGAAGACGTTACAGGTAATATTCATGACATTCAATAAATGTCCAATTTGGTCATAGACTATAGCTATTAAGATGAAGGTGTTCTATTTTAAAAAGATTTAAAAAAACAATTTAGGTTCATTGCTGAGTTATGTTCATTATGAGTATTGGATTCAAAAATTCATATTAAACATTTATAATTTTATGATGAAACCAAATCGCTTTTCTAGGCAAGATGGCGAGCGTTAGTCCCTATGACGTATCACGCTTGTAAATATGTAAACAAACTTTTACGTGTTAATTGTCATTCTCACACACACACATATATAATGGTTTTATTCAAAACAGCCTTTGATAATATTTAAGTCGAAGATAGTATGAGGATTAGACAGGCGAAGACATAGCACGCTACGTCATCGTTGATACCACTAATCTATGATAGTAAAGTCACGTGATTGACGTCTAAAGATAATTTAGTCAATTTTTTTTTAATTTTTATAAATTTATTATTATTTACAACTTATTTTATTTCATATAGCTTTTAAAGCCATGTTTTTTATTACGGACAAGTCATCAAAGAGTTAATAACACAAAATTTTAATCAGACGTATAATTTAATACTCTCGTTAATTTGTTTTTTTTCTGTCACCAGAAAAATACACGAGAAATTGAATAAAATGAATGATAATTAGTCTCCTTGTTAATTTGAAGTTGAAGGTATAGTATTTTGCTCGCGAATATGCGATAATTTGAAGTCCAGCCGTACTCTATAATTTGAAGTGTTTATCACGCACAGCCATATAATTTTTTTAATATTCATAAAAAGATGTACAAGAGGTTTATTTTTTAACTATATCCATCCCTTTCTCACGTATCACACATTTGACAGGTTGTCTCTCTCACTCACACGCTGCTAACTCATAGTGACCTCACAAGCGTGAATCGTGTACTGGTCGTGTGCCCGCTATCAACTGTATTGAATTGGGTCAATGAGTTCAAAATGTGGTTAAAACACTCCGAAACTGACTATGAAGTGGATGTCTATGAGTTATCTAGGTAAGACCAACATGTAATTATGTCAAAAAAACAACGCGCTACAACCTTTGAAGTCTGGGCCTCAGATTTTTTATAATAGGCAAGTAGGTGATCAGCCTTCAGTGCCTGACACAGTTGAACATTTTGGGTTAAGGTATGCAGGATGCACATGTGTTTTCCTTCACCGTATAGTGTTAAGTGAAATAGAAAGTGCATTGGTTCCCAGGGTTCGAACCTACGACGGTATGAGGGTAGCATAATATACATATGTCATCGTAAAATTGAAAAATACCGTTAGGTTGTTATGTATCTCGCGAGATTGTAATCTATCGAAGTGAAACCGTCAAATTGTGAAACGGAACGCCGCACCTCGCGCGTTGATTGGTTAAATGGCATACATTCGACGACAAACGGATTAACAAACAAATATGGTGGCGCGGGGCATATGCCGTTCAACCAATCAGCGCGCGAGGTGCGTTCCTTTTCACAATTTGACGGTTTCACTTCGATAGATTACAATCGACCGAATAATAATACGTTAAATTGTAAGTACGTTGAGGTTCACAATCTTTCGACAGTTCACAATCTCGCGAGATAGATTACAACCCAAACGGTATGTACAATTTTACGGGAACACATGCATTAACAAATTAGGAATAATTTGAAGGCAAAATCAAACACATTTATGACGTATAAAAGTCGGACTTAGCTAAGTATCGTTTCTGATTTCGTCCTTTCACGCTGTTTTTAAAATAGATCCAAGAAAATGAAAAGCAATAATAATATCATTAATTATTTCTCCAATTAAAGTTTTTTTAATATGATGTTTTATATTTATAGGTTCAAACAAAACTCTGATCGGGCATTTCAATTGTCGCAATGGTACCAACATGGCGGCGTGTGTGTGCTCGGTTATGAGATGTTCCGGAATCTATCTTCGGACAGTAATAAAAAATTCAAGAAGAAAATGCTTAAAAACTTCCAAGAGAGTCTTGTGGATCCAGGTAATCTTAATATATATAAATTACGCGTCACGTTTGTCCGCTATGGACTCCTAAACTACTTAACCGATTTCAATCAAATTTGCACACCGTGTGCAGTTTGATCTAACTTTAAAGATAGTATAGCTTACATATATAAATAATTCTACTGTACGTGTGTATATTATTGAACTCTTAAACGGCAGGACCGATTTGAATCATTTTTTGAAGTCAAACTTCTTTATCGACGTATGGGAGAAATTTTGTAGCAAATCGTCACGTTTTTCGGTTACGCGCCATGTTTCTTTTTGAAGTCAAACTTCTTTATCGACGTATGGGAGAAATTTTGTAGCAAATCGTCACGTTTTTCGGTTACGCGCCATGTTTCTTTTTGAAGTCAAACTTCTTTATCGACGTATGGGAGAAATTTTGTAGCAAATCGTCACGTTTTTCGGTTACGCGCCATGTTTCTTTTTGAGGTCAAACTTCTTTATCGACGTATGGGAGAAATTTTGTTGCAAATCGTCACGTTTTTCGGTTACGCGCCATGTTTATTTTTGAAGTCAAACTTCTTTATCGACGTATGGGAGAAATTTTGTAGCAAATCGTCACGTTTTTCGGTTACGCGCCATGTTTCTTTCTGAAGTCAAACTTCTTTATCGACGTATGGGAGAAATTTTGTAGCAAATCGTCACGTTTTTCGGTTACGCGCCATGTTGCTTTTTGAAGTCAAACTTCTTTATCGGCGTTGGAAAAGAATTTACCGTCACATTTGTCGGTTACGCGCCATCTTTTTCTTGTCCCTACCACGGTTGATCCGAAGAGATTCGAAGCCATTAATAACAAAAATATATAATAACGATAACAATGATAGTAATAATTCTATTACAATTAATGAATTTCTGCAATAATCTGAGTAGTAATAAGGTAAAATGAAATATTTGTATTCATGTCTATGATAATAAAAGCCTTTTGTTAAACTTTATCTAATTTAACTTTAAAGTCAAAGTTCCATAAAGATCATTTTTCGAAACATAAGGTTATAAAGAAGTTTCGCTTCTTACGTGTGGACACGTAGTACACGCACACATTTTTTTTTTGTATGCGTTTGGGTGGAGCCCTGGATGGCTTACTCACAAATCAGCCCGGCAGATGGCGCTACAGTCGGTACTTTCATACTTTGTCTAATATCCTAATCGCTTGAAATATGCAGGTCAATGTCTGTGGAACCGCTAGGATTAAAAAATATATTTATTAACTCTTTGTTGCAAGTATAGTACAATTAAAGTAATTAAATAAAAAACTGGCGCCCGTATCGCTTTCGAGCGGTCTCTTCCAGGCTTTATTAATATACTTCTCTCTTTTCGACAAATTGTATATATGCTATATAAAAGAGAAAGATGCTTTTATTAAAACATTTTATAATCTATTTTTTTAAAGCTATTTTGAGTAATATTTAATTAAATGTATCAATTATTTTACCTGTTTTGAAAGGAACCCAAATTACATTCGTAGCTAGATTTACTTGCAAATTTTGTTAATTATTTAATTAATATTTATTTCAGGACCTGATCTGGTAGTGTGTGATGAAGGGCATTTATTAAAGAACGAAAAGACAAGTCTTTCTCAAGCCATGAACAAAGTGAAGACATTACGGCGTATTGTACTAACTGGAACGCCATTGCAGAATAATCTTAAAGAATGTAAGTTATAATTTGCAATATATCTAGTATTTATTACTATATTTTAATAATAATAAATCTTTTATTTGCATAAGTTGTACATTTAGATTGATTAATTATTAAAAAACCGCACAATAAGCCATAAAAATAGGCATGCAAATGTCACAATAAACAGTTAAGTTGTAATTGTTGTCAAATTTATGGTCTAAATACTCTTCCAAGCTATAAAAATTCTTTAAAAATTTAATGGATATACGCCCATTAGCAATATCCCGCTGTAACCGAATACCAACTTCACGGCAAAAGACGTTAAGATGGCAGCAGTTAAACTCTTTTGAGATTTATTCAACAATAAATTTTTATTTTATTTTTATTGCTTCGATTGTTTCTTATTCTGTTCTGATTATAAAATGTGTGAATATTTCTAATTGATTTGACACTAACATATCATTGTTAGTGTGATTTATAAGGAATTAAACTGTACGATTTATGTACATACGCGTTTATGTACGTTAAGTGAGCAGCGTTGGCCTGGTGGCTTCAGAATGTGACTCTCATCCCTGAGGTCGTAGATTCGATCCCCGGCTGTGCACCAATGGACTTTCTGTCTATGTGAGCATTTAACATTCGCTCGAACGCAAAACATAGCGAGGAATCTGGCTTGTCTTAAACATAAAAGTCGACGGCGTTGCCGATTAGATTGACAAATGATTATGAAACATTTACGAAAATCTGAGGCCAAGACATAAAAATGTTGTAGTGCCACTAATTTATTTATTTTTAAGTACGTCAACAAAGTTTTATGTAAGAATAACCAAATTGCTTAAGTTTATTTATATTATATTTTACAGATTACTGCATGGTGCAATTCGTGAAGCCGAACCTACTTGGTAAATACAACGAGTACTTGAATCGGTTCGTGAATCCCATCACCAATGGACAGTATACGGATTCCACTGAACACGATATCAAGATTATGAAGAGACGATCTCATGTCCTCCACAAGATGCTGGATGGCGCTGTGCAGGTTTGAATTTTTAAATTTACAATTACGTATACGTATTTTGAATAATAATTATCATCCTCTATCCAAATATGATGATATAAATTGAACTAAATAACAATCTTCAAAATATTAAATATATACCTGTGCCTTCGCACGGTGTGGTCGGTCTTCCCTGGAACTCTACCGTGCCATAGAGCTTTAGCTATCTGTTAGTGATGGCTCAATATGCTTTATAGGCCGGGTGCCTATAAAGCATCTTCACCAGCGAGAATAATAAGCATCATCTGCAGTCTTGCTTAGGTCACACAATAGTGCATAGTAAACTCTGATTTTTCATTCCGTAGAATTCTGGCATTTCATAAGTGTGGCTACTAAAAAAGTTCTCCACCGAAAAAGGGACGTATTTGACCCATTTGAGGGCAATAAAAAATAATATGCTACGTATTTTTTATGTCTTAGATACAAAAAGGTAAATCTACATATTTACTTACTACAAAAATAACAGATTTCAATATCACGAACAATCTATCGAATTGACTATAATTATTTTATTTTATTCTTTAGCTGGCATTACTGCCTACTAATTCCAGGTTTAGTAAACCTTTTTACAAAAATAAAATGTTATCTATGATTTGTGCGATTTTTACTGTTCGTGATGAAAAGCTAACAAATAAAATGTATGTATAGACTCAGATGTTCAGACTCGTATTGAAAATGAAAAATGTGCCCGGCCAAAAAGTTTTGTAATGTCTGACATATCCAAAAATGATAGCTGTAGGAATGCTACGGAATTACAAATCAGAGTATAGAATCGTTTTGGATGGACCATGAAATTATCAATGTTCATATGTGTATAGCCAATCCTTAAAACTATCAATTCGTATAGCCATTATTGAAGTTTTCAAAGTATCAATAATTATTTCCAGCGACGAGATTACGGTGTTCTCGCTCCGTTTCTTCCGCCGAAGCACGAGTACGTTCTCTTCATCACCCTCACTGAAGTACAAAGCAAATTGTATACGCACTACTTGGATAACTATTCGCGGAGGTAAGAAATTAATTTTTCATGAGGTACTTGCTTATGTTCTCATGCCAAACACAATTGTGTATTCTTTCTATAAAATATTTTGATAAGTATCTGATTTTCTTAATTTTAACGTGTGTGATGTTTAAGAGAAAAAATAAAATAATAATAAAAAATGTGATCAAATTTGGTTCCTGATAATTCCAGATAATTATAGCAGGTACATTAAAGGCTCTCAGTAAAAATAAAATTTATATATAAAACCTGTAAATATTAGCGACTAATCAAATATTTCTACTAAAAAACTAAAGTTTCTACTAAATTTTGCGACAAAAATATATTATACTTATGACATAACTTTCATTGACAAAACACATTCTAACAAACAAGTCAATTGTTATTCCATTTATCTTTTATATCGAAATGCAAAATTACCCAGGACTAATATTGCCATTTAAAAAAACTCATACAACGAGTTTTTGCTATATACTGGGAGAAACAACTATGTATGTCTATGGGAGCGTTCAAGTATTACGTCACGTAATTTTTGGAGATTATTGATCCCCCTCCCCTCTCATGTAACGCGCAGTAACGTTTTTCTGAACCCAAGTATAGTTAAACGTTTCGTGATCACCTAGTGACTGACCTAAAAGTTACCATTATGTGGTGTAAAGTACTGGAAAGTCGAAAATAATGAAAATAACTCGTAATTCAATCTCCGCCCCGCATCGTAACGTTTTATAAAAGGACCAAAAATTCGTTACGTATTACTTGAACGGGAGCGTTCATAGACATACATAGTTGTTTCTCCCAGTATATAGCAAAAACTCGTTGTACGAGTTTTTTTAAATGGCAATATTAGTCCTGGGTAATTTTGCATTTTGATAGAAAAGATAAATGAAATAACAATTGACTTGTTTGTTAGAATGTGTTTTGTCAATGAAAGTTATGTCATAAGTAAAATATATATTATAAAAATTAAAAATATTTTTTTCAGACCTCTCCCGGGCAAGTCTTCAGGATTCCTATTCCCGGATTTCCAATCTCTTCAACGAATATGGACGCATCCCTTAGTTCTAAAATACAATTCTGAGAGATATGAAATCATGCAACAGAAAAAGGTATTAAAACTTCTATTTAAACATTCGAACATACACATCTGTTGGGTACATAGCTCTGATTCATTTCAAAGTAACCATTTGTTTATCTTTATGACGTCAAGTAATACAAAAAAATCGCCTGTTATAACAACAAATTACGCATGCGCTTAAAAAAAATTGGCATAGACCAAATAAAGACCGGCAAAGCATTTGCGAGCCTTCTGGCGTTTTGAGTGTGTATGGGCCGATATCACTAGACATCAGAAGCCTCCTGCCCGTCTGACCCCTGTTACAATAAAAATATAAAAACCTTGGTTTGTACCCGTTTCATCATCTTTTTTTCTAATAGAGAAATTGGTGATCAGCCTTCTGTGCTAGCCACTATGTGCCCTGATCGTAGATCACTTTTTTTAGGTAGGAATCTAATCTACGACCCCTGGGTTACACTTCCTAAGCAAAAAGAGTACATAATAACCAAATTATATTCCACTTATCGTGACTGTCTCATTTTCAGAGAGAAAGAGAAGAAGAGGACTCGGAAGGTTCCCTAGTAGACTTCATTAATGATGACTCTACTCCAGATGTATGCGCTTTGAATATATTTTATATTTATACATATACATACATACTTAAGTATAATTCATCGTTTAGTATCCTTCACACAATTTATCATTCTCAAGTATTCTATATATTATGTTAATATGACTTGCCCAACTTAATGATAATTGACATGTATAAAAATTGGTTTGTTTACAAGCATGGTACGTCATAGTGTGGGACGCCATCTTTTCTAGAGTAAGCGCTATGCTATATATCTTCCAATAGCGATAACGTTTGCGATGTCGATTTCCATGTTGAGTTTTTGTATTGAGCGATCTCATTAGAGGATTACATCGAAAAAACAAAGACTGGGAGTCTCTGTCGCTGTTGGAAGATAGAAGTATTGCTTCTAACGGAATAAAATACAGAAATATTTCTTTATGGAAACGCTTAAAAATAATTAATAAAAAGAAAAAAAATTGGATTGACATCTAAAAATGGTTTCAGGAAACGTCAACCGAAGAATCGTCAGATAATTCGTCGGATATGAGTGATGACAGCCGCAAGAAGAGTAAGAAGAAGAAGTCGCCGAAGAAGAGTAAAGGCCGTTCTACACGACGTGGTACCCGGGCAAACCCTGGTATTAATTTTTTTAATTTAATTTATGAAGCATGATATTTAAAATACCATACCTGATTAAAACGCGTTTTAACTGTGTGATCATTGCTTAATGATTACGTGGAATACTAATTAATATACAGGCTCCAGAAGATAAACCAATCCTTATATGGAAATTGTATTCGTTTTTACAACAAACTCCCAAGCGAAATTAAAGAATCATTACTGAATAAATTTAAAACTCTCGTTAAACGTAAATTAATCAATGAAGCTTTAATGATTTGATGATTTTTATGATCCTTGGGATGGATTTGCTCCAGTTCAAACAATTTGAATGACTCAAAACTTTCTTGCCAGTTCTTCTCTGGTCCGCTCTACGCTCTTGACTTGCGAACTTACTTGTCTTACTTACTGGTTACCTAGATGAATAAAGTTATTTTGAGTTTGAGTACATGATGTCCTATAAATCAACGTCAAGCCGACATTGCATTAAAGTGCTAGTTTTTTTTTTTTTTTGTTCTTATAAGAGTAAGTATTTTGGAACCGAGACCTCTTTTTATGTCAACATTACATTGTACCTTTTTAACAAGGTAGGGGGTATTAATATAAAATACATGTACCTTAAAATTAATTTACTTTTAAACTACAATAGTTTTTAATGACACGGGACATCGATTTTTTATTAATATTCTGGATACCTGCTGTATGACCCGCTTTCGGATTGGTGTTTATTTATGGGACACAGTGTAAATATTCAATATAACTCGTACAAAAAATGTTGGTTTATATAGTCTAGAATATATAATTGAAAATTGTATTTAATTTCAGTGGAAGCCGAAGACGACGATGTACAAGAGGTGATAGAGGTGAAGAATGAGAATCCAACAGAATGGTGGATGTCACTCGTGAACGAAGAAGAGCTGGACGATGTGCGGAACTCGCACAAACTAGTTTTACTTTTTGATATTTTGCGGCAGTGTGAAGCTATTGGAGATAAATTGTAAGTATTTTCTATGGTCATTTTTCTATTGGTCTGTGGTCACTGTGGGAGAAGGGAGGTTATAAATTCGACGTGTAATTTTTTAGGCTCTTGTCTATGGTCACTTGAAAACGACTTTTTAAAAAATCTCCTTTTTGTAAGTGGTTTTGCAAATTTTATTGTTTATATTGACGGGTTGTCTCTCCTTAAAATATGGCGAGGGGGCCGATGGCTGGCCATGTGTTATACTCGTGAATGGGTGTTACTTGTGGTGACTGGTCGTACTTGAATTCGTGTATGTGTATCAGTTGTTTCGACTATGTATTTGCGTGTTGTTCCCACGAGAATGTAAGTGCGTGCTCCTATTTCACCATGCCTCCTACTGGTCGAGGACAAATCTTTGTTTTTAATTTATGTTATTATTATTAATTACTTAAGATGTCATGTGGAACATGGTGTAATGGTTGCAGCTCCTTACAAACGTTGTGTAAAAAAAAACTTGGCGATTAAAAAGAGTTCTACGCCGTTGATTTGAGAACTGGCAGTAAATGTTAAATTAGAAGCATTTAATGTATGTTTCTTTTTTAACGTTCATAAGTGTACATTGGGTTACCTACATGAATAAATGATTTTTTACTTTTGACTACATATTGTTGAAAATTGTGTATGTTATGTAGTATCTTTTCATTAAAAATTAATATTGTCAAGATTAATAATAATAATTATTTATTTATTAAAGCAGACAAATCCATATAGTTAGCTGAGAGTTTAAAATATAAATTTAAAAAGGGCACATGCAGTCCATTGCAATGACCCATGTAAGAGCAATCCAGCATTCCCGCTATTACCGTTATTATGAAACGTATATATAATAATTATTGAAGTGAAACTTCTTTATCGACGTATGGGAGAAATTTTGTACAAAACCGTCACGTTTTTCGGTTACACGCCATGTTGCTTTTTTTATCAGACTAGTATAGTGACGTAAAGAATATAATATATGATAATGATAACAACAATATATTAGTTTTGAAGTTTGGTTTACAATAAGAATAACAATATAATTATTATAAAGTGATAAAAAAAACTTGAGAGGTGTCTTGACACCTTGGGACACCCGGATGGAACGAAGTTCCTTTCGATTAATTAGTGAAGTAATTGTAATACAATATTTTTGAAGTTATACTTCTTTAGGCGCGTTATGAAAAATTGATGAGAGTGAATTTTTACGATGCGCGCGCACCTGAGACACAAAGTTGTCAGTGTGATTATAGCGTGCGCGAGCGAGATAGGAATAAGACAATCTACAAGTAAAAAGAAATAGAATATGCGTGAAGTTAGCAGCTATGCCAAGAATTTTGAATGAACATAATGACATTTACCTTTTAAACAAATAAAGGAGTTTTAATGATTTTTTTAAAGAAATTTAGCAATGCTTTTTGAATTAAATTGAATATCAATAAAATCAATACTAATTAATATTAGAAAATGTTTGTGAAAAAACTGTGCTCATCAACCTTCCTAAGTGCTTCAATACAATTGATGTTAACTATCCGTATGTATTATTATTATCGAGTATTATTGTTGAGTAAAACTGAAACATGAACGGTTATTCATTGCTTTTGTTTATTGCGTTTGTTACAGCAACTTTTTAGACATATTCTACGACTCTATATATCAATAATTGAAATTCTGATCAAGACATTGGAGTCACTTAAAAATAAATACCTAGTATAATGAAATAACAATGTTTTAAAGATAAATAGTGTTTAATTTGTTTAAATAACTTAATTGTTAAAACAACCTAAATTAAGAACTATCAAACTTAAAAGTTTTCATCAATAAAAATGGCTCTCACTGCTGCTCCACACAGTGTATTTTGAGATGAGGGCACTGTTGTTAGTGAGGGCAGGGTCTCTTCATCATCATCAGAGATAGGTTCCTCTTTTAATCAATGGCTATATTGTAGTATTGCACAATAATAGCTAAAGCTACAACATACATCTTAGTGTTTGGTACCTAGAGATGTTCTAAATATATAATAATACTAGCAAACTCGGCGAACTCCGTTTCGCCACCAGATGGCTTCGTTTTATGCAACATTTCGTTTGGTGATCCCGCTTTTCTGTTGAAATTTTTCCTGAATTTTCTTTGCTATAAACCTCACGGAGCCCGAGACCTTTCCAACGAATGTAAAACCGTGGAAATCGGTTCGTGCGTTCTGGAGTTATAGCGTCAGGAAGGAAAACCCGACTTATTTTTATATAGTAGATATACTTTTAACTTAATAGAATTTATGTTACACTTAATGTAAGAGAATAATAATAAATATTTATTTAATTTTCAAATGTAAACTGAACTTTATTGACTATAATGACTCCTTTTCCAGACTTTGATTAGTTAATTGTAATTAATTATTTGCATGCATCAAAAACTATTTTTAATTATGCCAAAGAAGTATAACTTCTTACGCGCGTACATAAGTACACGCACTCTTTTTTATGTTATTTTATTTTATTTATTATTCGACACTTATATTTAATGACAATTAAATTCATTAAATTCCTAACATATCTTCCTTTTTCCGACCCTCTAAGTATCGGAAATCTAAACTTTTAGATTTGTATAAATATGAACAACATTTAAAGATTAGTTTGCCACAGAAGTTTCACTTCTAACATGTGTACTTTGTACACACACTTTTATTTTATTTTAATATATACATAAAACATTTATAATTATTATAATTTTCAGATTGGTGTTTTCTCAATCATTGTACTCTTTAGATTTGATTGAGCATTTCTTGGGGAAAGTAGACGAAGCCACGCAAGAGGGACGAGTGGATGAAAAATTGGGGGGACACGTTGGTAAGCTTCTTTAAAACTATGTGCCTTAGTGATTTGAAGGCAGTGTGAAGATCAGTAAACAAAACTTTGAACAATATTTTAGAGGCTTAAATCAAGTTAATTTTAGAGTGTCCGTGCGTTTTGTAAAAATACTCAAAAAGTTAATATTATTAAATAATTGTAATTGTACGAAACGAATGGGGTTGAATTCTGAAAAGGTGTGTTTAATCTGTGATTCGTTAAGTTAATATATATAAATCTCGTGTCACAATGTTTGTCCTCAATGGACTCCTAAACTACCGAACCGATATCAATCAAATTTGCACACCATGTGCAGTTCGATCTAACTTGAGATATAGGATAGTTTAAATCTCAAATTATAGTCGCAATTTTAATTTATTGCAAAATATTTGTTTATTATTTGATACAATTCTAACAGATGGCGCTGTGTTAAAATTATCAACGTTTCACATAAGCTGTCATGTACCTTTCACATAAGTTCTCCTACCGTTTCCCTTGAATAGTTTACTACTATGTAATATAACAAAAATCTTAGCCAGAGCAACGCTTGGCCGAGTCTACTACTCGTTATAAATAAATGACAAAATTTTAATTTAATTACAATTTTAGTGATCTTTTAATTGTGCTTTTACAGTAAATTTGTTTCTTATATTTAAAGCGTGGTAGCGTTTCGTTACTAATAAACTTTTACTAGTGATTTTTTTTTTTAAATGGCGCTTTTTCAGACAGTGGCGCTTTTTCGAACAATCCATCCGATTACAAGAAGGGCATTCTATTATCACATTCTTAGGCTTTTTCGCTATGCCTTTTGATTTATGATCTTTTTTGTAATACTTTGCTAATATTTATCTTTATAAACTTATTTATTGCAAGAATTATGTTTGGGCCGTCCGCACCGTGGCCATCGTTATAAATTGTTTCTTTTCTCTTTTTTGTTTTTTGTTGTGTGGCCTTGTTGGGGCACAAATAAATAAATTACATGTATAAAGTGTATATTTTTTTTTTATTAATCGGTTTGAACGAAAAATAATTCATTCTAATTGTATAGGATCCTGGTCTCCCGGCGTAGACTACTTCAGATTAGACGGTTCCACGTCGTGCGAGAATAGATCAATTTGGTGCAAAAACTTTAATAGAGAAGACAATCCTAGAGCGAGGTGAGTTGTTTCAATAATACATCCTCTTGCTCAAAATACATAATATGGTCACAAAAAATTTACATTGAAAAAGAGAGAACATAACATAAATATTGGTGCTGTGTAACCGATGAATGAATACTTTGTCTATGGTATAGAATAACGAGGGATACATTAAAATGGCGACACCTGGTAGCCTTTGTTCATTGGTTTTAATATTGATTAAAGTATAAGACTAAAGAAAAAATACTAAAACGTCAATCAAAGTAAAATCTAATTTCAAGAATTGTCAAACTTTGTCTATATGAAGTTTGTCACATTTGACAGCTATTGATACGAGATTGTTAGAATATGGACAGCAGTTATTTTTATCCATTGTCTTGTATGTTGATAAGCGGAAGTCAAACTTAGGGCTAAGCCTGGACTTTGAATCTTAGAATAATATTCATAAATAAAACTTAGCGTTAAGTGTAGACTCCCGTACGTCAAAATTACATACAGGACACGTAATTCGCGCTCGAGTCTCGATTCTCAATCTGACAACCTATTTTGATGAAGATTGAACTGTTTCCGATCATCTTGACTGTTATCCGAGAATTGTGGACAAATATACATGTGCGTGAAAGCCTGAATAGACTCAAATACTCTAAACTCTCTAATCTTTTTATAGTCGGTTAAAAATTAATGTTTTAAAATTTGCTATATTTTTCAGATTATTCCTTATATCAACCCGAGCTGGTGGTCTCGGTATAAATCTGGTAGCTGCAAACCGGGTGGTAATTTTTGATGTGTCATGGAACCCATCGCATGACGTGCAGAGTATCTTCAGAGTTTACCGATTTGGGCAGAAAAAACCTTGTTATGTTTACCGGTTTCTTGTCATGGTGAGATTTATTTACATAATATAAAATGATAAAAAATATTTCATAGTACGAGCCAGTTTATGCTATGCTATGAAGCTATGAAGCTTCCGGGCAAGTTGAGGGATATTGGTGGTACACAAATCCAAATCACCACTAGTAAAACCCATTCACGAGTAATGATAATAATTATGAATGATTATTTGATTCAGTTGAGTTGATATCTTATTCCAATAAATATATTTTAATGTTGGCAACACTGGGAAATACCATCTTTAATATTTCCTACATGTGGCGTTGTTTAGTGTGTACCATTATTATCTGTATAATTCATAAAGTCCTAACAGATTCACATGCATTAGAAAAATAATAACATCTAAAACTGTATTTCAGGGAACAATGGAAGAGAAGATTTACGAGCGGCAAGTGACGAAACAGGCGATTTCGAAGCGGGTCATCGACGAGCAGCAGATCGACAGACATTATGCGGAGAACGATCTCGCGGAGTTGTACAAGTTCGAGCCGAAGCCGCCTCAGCCAAGGCCCATTCCGCCCTTGCCCAAGGACAGACTGTTCGCCGAAATGCTTAAGGAACATGAACAATTGGTATTAAAGAAATATTTAATATATAATCTCATTCGGTAATATTCTAATTATGAAATGAAATACAGACTTTTATTGGCATATTTTATTTAGATACTTCTTTAAGGAAAATAAAAAATTCAATTAAAGCATTATTCTGCTAACAAAACAATGCTTTAAAATATTTTTTTAATTATTAAAGTACAATGTGTCCCGACCAAGGAGGTTTCAATTCAATTTAAATACACATAATCTGTGGTGAACGTGCTGCGCGCGCAACGCGCTGGTTCCGAGCCAATTCAAATCAATAATCGTACATACGAATTTGAGTTATATATATATTTTGTTGGATAAATCTTTAATAGCAAAAATGTCAAGCAATACCGACGATATCGATGAAAATTTAACTCGACGCCAGTCTTTTGCCAGAAAAATCAAGAAAAACGTACGACAAATGTTACCAAGACTTTATGACTTGGAAACCTATACGTGTAATCTTATTTAAATAAAACTACACTCATGTTTTAATACCCTCTATTATATGACAGTCGCATAAATTACTATTATTTTATCATAATAACTCAAAATTTACATGTTTAATTTTAAGTATAAAACGTCACAGCAACTGCATAATGTTGTGCAATGTCAAAACTATTTTTTTTATTATTTTTGTCTTATTTTTTATTATATATGATATCATTCATTCTATGATTATAGATGAAATACTCAAAACAAATATACAAATTACAGTCTCAAATTATTAAAATTTTATGAAAATATGTCTCAAATAAGGCATTAGACATTCCAGCTATTAACGAACAGACACACCTTTTTACCTATCTTAAGATTACTATAATATGTAAAGCATGATAAAAAGGTATAAAATACTTTTATAATTTGATAATTGTCTATTTATTTAAAGTATACTGTCATGGAAATGATAAAATTGTAACTAAATTAAAAATTCCAGATATACAAATACCACGAGCACGATTCCCTCCTTGAAAACAAAGAAGAAGAAACGCTGACGGAAGAAGAGAGGAAAGCGGCATGGGAGGACTTCGAGAATGAGAAGACTAGGCCTCCGCCCGCAGTCTTCGCGCAGCCTTACGCTATGCATAATGGCATGAGTGAGTTATTTTTTATTAAATTTAAATTATTAATCAATCATCCAAATTATTTATATCAAATATTTTTATTATTTCTCATATGCCGATTCGCGGTCTTGCTAGGTTACTAAGTGCCTTTTTTTTCAATGCAATGTATTTTACAATTTATAATATTTCTAATCTCTATTCTTACTTATACTATTTCTATTATTCTATTCTAATTTTAAAATTCTCTTTTTTATCTATAATAAGATTATAGAATATAGAATATATTATCTATTATTAAATTATCTTTCAGTGTTGGCACAGCAACAGCAGTTGGCGTACGCGGCTCTGGCAGCCACTCTTCGTAAAGAAGCTCCCACTATCACTGAGAACCAGATACGAGATATGATACCACTTATATATGGTGCTAACCCACAGGTACAAACTAATAAAAAATTGTTAACAACATTTTTAATATAAATATATTTAAATGTAACGAAAAACTAAATCATAAACTATAGGAGTTAGTAAGAGAATATAATTTAATGTATCTGGTCCGGTTTTGCCAAATCTAAACTATATCTAAGTAAAATATGAGAAATTGAAAATTGAACCTTTGATTTGTAAGTTTCTTATACAATTCATGAAGATACTTTTAATCCGTACCTCCAAGTGATATCTGGGACATATTTATCAAATGTATTTTATAGACATACTAATAATAACAATTATGTACCTTAATTGAACCTCGACCTCCAACTTCAGAATGCACTGCCAAGTGCTTGGCAACAAAGCCCAAATTTTCCTTGAATACAATTTTTCATAGACCCTAATTTGTCTGTTTAGATGTTCGCAGGATATGATTATAGTGTAAGTTATTTATATCATTAAGCATGTATGTGTCGTATTTTATACTCTTAGTATCACTATGTTAAAACCATTTTATATTATATTTTATAAATTTCAATTAAATTTGAACAATACATAATTATTAGATAACATACATAGGATAAATAAACCAAAATTGGTTTCCTAAATCTATACATTAAAACAAAATTTAGTATGAAAATAAGGTCATTTTTATTTAATTTATAGAGATACAAAAATATTTTCCTTAAGATTGATATTGTTAATTGAATAAATAATTAGGAACATGTGTATATGTATTTCTGTAAATTAGATAATTTATTTGAAACAAATGGGTCAATTTTATTGCTCACCTAATTATAGATAAGAAAATCCTAATAATGTCTATAAATATAAAAAAAATATGTTTAATTTTAAAAATCTTAGTATAAAATTCTATATGTTTTGATTTCTTCTAATTTATATAAAATACATATTTTCAGCTGATGCAGAAGTTGGGTGAAATGTATAAATACCCACAATCAGGCATGATGAATCCTGGGATGATGAATGCTGTTATGAATTCTGGTGAGTGTATATTAGTATAGTATATGTATATTGTATGTACTATAAATATTTGACTTGCAGTATGAATTCTTATAATAATTATATTGCCAGAATCAACTTTTAGAATATGAATTTGATAATTAGTACTTAGTAATAAGACAGGGCTGTGAATTGCCTGGAGATAAATAATAAAAGTGTTTAATATAATAAAACTTCTGTTTGATTTTTTTTTAAATATTTCTTTGACTATATAGTTAATGTACTTGTGTGGATATTTGTGAGTTTTGTTTTCAATTCTCCATGTCAATTATCTTATATATAAAATTCTCGTGTCACAATGTTAGTTACCATACTCCTCCGAAACGGCTTGACCGATTTTTATCAAATTTTATATGCATATTCAGTAGGTCTGAGAATCGGCTACTATCTATCTTTCAACCCACTAAGTGATAAGGGGTGTCCACCCCTAACATTTTATTTTATTTTTTAGACATTCTTATGTTTTTAATTTTTTATGATACAGCATACAAAAATACATACACCCCTCTACGTTCAACCCCTATTTTTATTATATAGTTAGTACGCTCTTTTATTGACTTAAAAAATGTTTCCTAGAATAATATACATGGCAAAACAACGTTTGCCGGGTCAGCAATTTATATAATAATAAATATAATTCTTGTAACGTAGTAAGTAGTTTTAACGTCTATGCATGCCCTTTTTATTATACTTGGTCTATCCAATATTAATAATTAACGTTAGAAGAAGTTCATTATTGAGACAATAATAAAATAAAAATAAAATTTGACCACTTTAGGTGCTGGTGGTGGCAGTATGCCGCTAGGTGGCAGCAGCGGGCTACAGTATGAACCGCCTTGGCAGCGACAGCAGCAGATGCGGTTGCAGCAACTGATGCAGCAGCAAAATGTTAGTATTTGCTCAGAAATTTAGATTAAGTCCAATGCGTTAGTTATCATTTAGGGTAACTAAGTATGACTATTATATTGTAATCATAAAAATTCAAATTCTCATGTATTAAAAATTATTTCTACAATTTTTTTAGCAAATGGGTGCGAAGTTCTACGCGGGAGGTCTAGGCAGTCGTGACCCCGTGGCGATGGCCCTGCAACATCAGAGGGCGCGGGAGATGATGCTGGGAGAGCGGACACGCCCACGCGGACGTCCGCCGCATCGCGATACTGCGCCAAGGACCAACTCGCACGACGTTGTTAACCTTGACTCGGATTAGGTAAGAATTCAATCTTAAAGAATCAGTTGTGAACAAAATAATTCACTTCATATGTTTTGAATTTCTTACTTAGAGTCTGGCTAATGAAAGAAGATAATTGAATTATTTGAAAACTTTTGGATGGTAACACAGAATGTCATTGAATTTCTTAGGTTAGTATGATTTATTGTCTTGATATTTCATGGAATTACTCATTTTTATTTCTATTATATATTTTTTCCGAATATGTAGTTATAATAGCCTCAACTTTGTTTATTGATTTTTTGGACTCTGACTTTGACTATTCCGAATAAAGTTGTGTTTTACAACAATATAGTTTTTGTTTTCCATGCAATGTTAGTCATTTTAAGTATCAATAGTAAAAGACTAAATACGTATAGTATTTAATTTCATAGAAATACAGTTACTATCAATGTAAAAAATATTAAAATAAAATCAAGTATCAAGTAAGTATATAAAGTATATGAAACTTTTAGGGATACTAAACTATTATTTTTTTTTAATTCGCCGCGCTTTTTAGTTATCTTCTTTCATAAGCCAGACTCTATCAATATAATGTGTTAATTCTTGAGTGTATGTCGTCTTTGACACAGTCTGTACTGCCCTATATATAGCCATAATACTCACATTCTTATAAAATAATAAAACATTCAATTTAAGGCCTTTATCTATTCTATTCTACTTAAACAACCTGAAATAGGAGGTTTAAAATTACATTAATACTAGTTTTATACAAGTCGGTGTTCTGTGTCAACCCAATGTTTTTTTTTGTTATGCTGCGAATAGAATATTCTATCCTTATATTTTTAATAGGTATAAATTGTATTTTAGTTAAAAGCTAATCTCCAATACAACTTTAAAACAAAAAAATATTTCTGTGAGAAATTGTTTATTCTAGGCTATATAAAATCACACTGCTACCTTAATATCACGAGTGAGAACTACCTGGTATTATAGTTTCAGTATCTGTTATCTGATAGATGTCAATTTTTTTACATGTTTTACAGAAGAATACTACAAATGAACTCTGTACAGTGAATGATATTAAGGTGCTACGCAGGAAGGATAGTTGGTACATGAGCCGGAGTGGGCCAAACTAGGCATACTGTGTAGTTTTACTATAGACACCGCTACACTACATATCATGAATCTCATTTGACATCGCACACAAACTCACAACTAGAAAAATAAATTCCCTAAGTACGCTTGTAGCTAAAAATCCAAGAGATTAGGATATTTTTTTATCAAGCAAAAGTTGAGTTCAAAGGTGAAGTGATTTATATAACATTGTGTGTGGTGTGGTTTTATTTGTCAACTTTAAGATTCAGTGTCAGGCGACTACTTAAGACAATTTTTAGAGTAAGATTTTTTGTGAAGCATCTTTTAAATTCAAACTCAACGAATATAGCTTGCAAACCCCAGCACATATCAGGAGACCTTCAACATTTTATAGGCACTTGGCAGTTTTGGTACTCGAAGCTACATGAAAAAAATTATACAGTGCCTATACTAAAACTTTTAATTCGATTCCAGTTTTGATAATTTCAGTTGCAACGTTGTGACAAGTACTAAATAGGTACGTTGCGAAATTATTCGATACGGATATGGAATATTTCCGGATCGATTCCTCTGGTTTATGGTAGTATATCTAAACAACAACTTTAATAGAAACTAAGTAGATCCGGAAATTAAATATTTCTGAACGGATAGTTTAGTTATGATGATTAATTTTATTAAGGATCCTGAGAGTTTTCTTTAATAATTGTGTGTGAAATGAATAAAAAAATGTGAAATGAAGGAACATGAAAAATATTATTTTTTTATAAAATAAAGCAGCGGTTACTAATTAATAAATAACTATGTATTTATTTAAATAAAAATCAATAATTTAGTTTTTAATTGGCACACCAATTACATTACATAAATCGCGATTGTTTATCAATTTTTGTGTTCATCACACTACACTATTATATGTGGTATCACTATTTTACAAAATGACAGAATGTCAAATGTGGAATCGAAATATAAGTTGTGGTATAAATGCCTAAAACAGTTCTAGATTCATCTTAAAATCGAATTTCAAAATGTAGATGTAAATAAGAGTAGAAAATGCATTTTCATTGTAAACTTTTAAATCTTCATTTTCAAAATCATATTTAAACAAATCTGTGTTGAAAAGGTTTTAATCAAATTTTAATATATTTTTAACATTTTTTTCTAGTACAAACTGGACTTAAGCATTTTAATACTTTTAATACAGATTTGAAGTTTTGCATTCAGTAAATGTGGCTTGCTAAATTATATTAATCTCAGTACAGGAAATTAGTGTTAAGTTATAATAAATGTTGGTAGTTTTAAACGCAATGTGGAAATACATTTTAATATGACTGTGCAATTACATACATAATTTGCTTAATTTTCTTTAATAGGAAATCAATATTTAGGTGTATAAATTTTATAACAAAATGTAGGTTTATATTATAAATTGGGGAAAGAATTCAGTTTCTCTGCCCTTATAAAGATTATAAGTAAAATAATTTTGTCATCAATATTGCAAAAAAATAAGGCAGATAGTGGGGGCAGATTGACTGACCCATTTGCTATTTCTGTTGTAACTTCACATAAACTCCATTCCATTAATATCAATTGATTTAATTGGATTTCTGTTTGGTGATGTCATATTCTGTTGTGAGTAGATTAATTAATTGTGATTTAAGACTAGTTTCTATAATTATTTTTCAAATTACTTGATAATCAAATGGTTGAATCTGATCAATTGAAGTTTATTTAGCTCTAAATGTGAACATTTTAGTTGTGATATTATCACTATTACATTTTTGTATACGTTTATTTTAATAAGTCACTACAATGACTTTAATACTTGACAATTACTATTAGTTATATATTTATAAAATTATGAATAGTATTCTCCCGTGTGATGATTTAATTGGACACTAATAAAGGCATTCTGAATGTTGTTTTTATTTTTTAAGTTACAAGTATCTCCTAGATTTTATCATAATATTTATGAGTTATATACATTTTTTATGAGCAGTATTTGAATTAGTTTGTAAGTTATTTACTCAATATTTTGTTAAGAAAAAACTGTAACAGGTTTCTTTATTTCGCACACATGTGAAGACAGTAATTGTATTTCACAATAATATAACAATATGTACTATATTATAATAATGGTAAATGTAGAAAACTTCCTATTATTTTGTAGTAAAATTGAGGAATAATAAATAACTTAAAATGTGTATATGTTTGTTTTATTTCGTATTAATAAACCATCTTATTTATTTTATTAAATTATGTTGATAATAATACTAAATTTATGTTACAATATTTATGAAAATAGTCTAGCTATTATATATATATTTGCTAAAGACGCCTCTAAACCCCCGTTTAATAAAAAATATGTGGTATAGAATTTGTTTTGTGATGTAGACCTTCAGGCACCAAGGTTAAACACATTAGTGGTTTTTTAGTAATTTTGTACTATTAATTTATTTCATGTTCAAGCAATAACAATTAAAAACAAAATTATATAGTTAGACAATCTGTAAAATAATCCAATTTTAATATGCGTATTATTAACACAATTTAGAAATTGCAAAATATTCTCTTTGTTATGTAATTTTTTAAGATTATTTACAACTACATAAATAAATTAGAATAGCTAATATAATAATCAATTGATATTTTTAAAAAAAATAGTCTATGTCAAGCTTTTCTCATTATTTCAATAAAATGTATCAATTTAATTACGAATAATCTTACCTATTTGTAGTTCAATGGGAAAACTTGTTTACTTAAAAGATTAGTATGTTTTTAGAAAAATATTTTCTCTGTCAATCCAAGATCTAAAAGTATAGAAATTAAAATCATAATATGACTACTAATAGTAACTATATAATAAATAGTAATAATAAAAGTTACTTCACATTTTATGAAATTTAATATTGACAAACGTATCTCTATAATTACCAATAGAAATTACTTTATTGTTTCACTTGCTTTTGAATAATTTTTTAATTATAGAATATTTTTATATGAAGTGTTGCATCATATATCATTATAACAATTGCGACTTTGCTATTTAATTATTGGCAACTTCGTCTTGACTTCAGTGTGCATATAATCAAATTAATAACAAATCTAGCTTTTATAATATATTTAGATTAGGTATTCCTGTTTTGTAACCAATTGATGCTCCAATAAAATTCAACAACCTCTGAGCTAAATATTCTGCTTCATCCTTTTTAGCAACATTTGCGTTTATCATTTCTAATTTGTTTTCTTTACAAAATGATAAAACATCACTTGTATTCACAGCCATTGAATCAACAGAGAGCCCACAAGGATTCACCAATACCACTCGACGCATTTTTAAATCTGGGTGAACTTTATCTAGCATTTTCCTTACCCATTCAATACAAAAAACGGCGCTTAAATCTATAGCAATGACCATGAAATCTATTCCAACCCTTCCTGTAATATCGGACTGACTGATGATCCTTTCCAAATCTATACAGCGTAGAACAATAATTTTCCACTGAAAGTCTTCTTTTTTATGAACGTGGATCAAAGCTTCTGATATATTCTCAACTATATCACGGTTTACAGCAAGAACAACAATAGTTAAACCGTTTTTATATGATGTTTGACCTACCCATGGGGCAGTGAGCATGTTATCTTCCTCTATATAAGACATGTTGAGTAACGGTTCAGACTGTTTTTAAACACGGTCAAACATACAAAATTGAAAATCAATCCAATTAAATTTAAATATTGTTGGTTTAATCTAACTTCTTGTTTACAGTTGTCGTTAAATTTAAATTTTATAAATTAGTCAAACGTCAAAAGTGAAAACTCATAGTGAGTAGTCAGCTCAATAGAACCGTCGTATTATAGTCATCTGTCATCTGTGAGCAGTGGCAATTGGCAATTGTCAAGTAAACACAATTACACAACACCTATCCAACGTACCAAAACGGTGAAATGCTTTGTTGGTACTCTTCATTTTTCTTCAAAATATGTATTAAACGGCTCTTGCTTGCCCTTTTTGAATAATAATAATTTTTCAAGTAATTTTCATGGCTTTAACAGCGCAGTCGGTCTCACTCAGTCTCAAGCGCGTAGATAATGCTCTCTCACTCATAGAGATATTAAAATTTAGTTTAGGGGATGATTGGCCCCTTGGATCGGTCTGTCTTCTTGTCAAAGCTTTTAAAATAGTTGTCGGATGAACATATATAAAAATGGAGCGTCAGAATTTACGTGAAGTTGACTAATTATTTTGAGACCCTTAAAGCGTCTGTTATGGTAGGGGAGCCCAAGAGGGGATTTCGGGATTTACTAAAGCGCGGCAGATTACTATATAGGGGGATACCTTGTACCCGGTTAAGTACCTCCACAAAATATGAGGCCCATATATAAGGCCGCGCGTGAAGGAGACAGGATCAGATTAGTAAAAAAAAATTGACCATCAGAAATTCCCGAGCGCGTCAGATTAAGGTAGGGTGAGTTAATTACATCCTAAAAAGTGTATATTCCACTAATCTGACAATTTGAGAGTGACGGAAAAAAGGGAGGGCAACAAAGTTGTAAAAAAAAACGTCATCTCGACATTCTCGAGCGTAGCTAATTTTTCTTTTATTTTGAAGGAAATAATTCCAGAATAATGAAAAATATATAATCTGACGATTTCCGCAAGCCGAAATAACAAAAATTCGTCGATAAAGTTAAATGCGTGCAGCTGCGTGATGCCTACATTTCCTTAAACCGATCGGAATCTACTAAACGGCGTTCAAAATATTTCCCTCAAAATTACATTTCCTGTGAATTTGAACCGATTCGGACCGATAGATTTTGAGAAATTTTGAAAAATCTTAAAAAAATAAGAAATATTTTTTTTTAAGTGGTTTCTTTATCGATCAACTTCAAAAACTAATCCGCCTTTGAGCTTGAAAAACCACGTCGATCGCCACCAAGCTGGTCAAAAGCGGTTGATTCGTTCGAGAGATATCGTACATGAAAGAAACCCGAAAAAGTGTTTTTTCGGGATTACTCCGAAATTTGTGGTTCGATCAATTAAAATTGCAAAATTACTTATGAGAATGATAAAACTGCGTCGAATGCCGCCAACCGCGTGAAAATTGCTTGATCCATTCAAAAGTTATTGCGGTTTGGAAATTCCAAAAATAGTGTTCTATGAAACTTCTATCAGACTTTCGAGCTGGGAGAGCTCAAATGCATAGAAATGTTATTTCTTTGAACTCAGCGAGCTCAAAATATCAATTTTAAGCGCCCAGGAATGGAATTAGCGGGAAGTTGCAGGGATGGCCCTTTAGGTGAACCGTTTTTCTATTTTTTTTTTGTCAGATCAGGCGAATCCCTCTAGATAATCGTCAGATTATGAGACAGTACGTTTAGAACATAAAGATGAACCACATATATCTTAATCTGACGCGCTTGAGTATTTCAAAATTGCGATTTTTTTTGCAAATTAAGAAAATGGCTGTGGGTTTGCGTCCCATCGAAATCGTCAGATTAGTGAATGAGAGATTTTTTTTGGTGCACTTAACACTCCCTTAGAAAATCTGACGCGCTCGATAATTTTTTTTTTTTTTTAATTTTCAACCCTTAAATACAACCACCCGCATCATGCAAACGATCAGATTAACATACGTACATTATTAAAAATACGTAGGGCATAGATGCTATCAATATCTGACGCGCTCGAGGATGTCCATGCAACAGTTTTTTTTACATATTTAACTATCTATAGCCGCTTCCCCCACCGATGAAAAGGAATTTATCATATAACATTTTTTTCTTCTTTTTATCTAAGCTTTGTATCCCAATAGGTCTCTACGACGCTCGAGTAAATCCCCATTTAGCATCGTGGGCTCCCTACCATTAAGCAATATGGCCGACGGAAAGTGTCTGGGAGTATTGACAATTTATTTTTAACTATACACTCGAAAACATATATAAAAATCAGCCATGAGAATTTACGTGAAGTAAGTAATGTTTTTGTGTACCTTGATTACCTGATACCTGGAAATTGGCCGTTTGACCAAGCTAGCAGGTAGGCATACGATCATAGTACATACTAACACTACCCAATCGTCCACATTTCATCCGTCAGAAAATACGTGACGTCTGGCGGCCCTGGGATCTTGCTCTATATATAAAAATAACAAAGTACAACACGAGGGTAATATAAAAATAATGTTTACACTTATGACTTAAAATTATTACGATTCACGAAGTTCAAACTCGGATTTCTTTTTAGTTCTCTCTCATGTTTACCTACAATGAGTTATTAAAATACAGCTTCATAATTTGATAACTTTTTCAATTTTTACTAGCCCAAAGTATAAAAAGATAAAAGCCGAAAGCTAGTAGAACAAAATGAGTCGTCGAGATGAAAAAAATTCTGATAATGGTTTTGAAGCATGGGGTGGTTATATGCAAGCTAAAATCTCAAAACTGGAAGAGCAATTTTCCTCCAAAGCTTCAAAAGAAAATCATGTTTCGGATATATTTAAGGGTATTAGTATCTTTGTCAATGGTTACACAGTACCTACAGCTGATGAACTAAAAGATTTAATGGCTCAACATGGTGGTGTTTATCATACATATCAACGACATGAAGACATTGTTATTGCTTCAAATTTACCAGATACAAAAGTAAAGAATATGTCCCTAACAAATATTGTAAAACCTGAATGGATAACTGAGAGCATAGCATCTAATCAGCTGCTGGATTATAAAGATTTTTTACTTTATTCTAACAAACATTCCCAGCCTAAGTTAAAATTTCAAAAAATGAGCATTGATAAAAAAAATAAGAAAGAATTATCAACTGATAGTTGGGTTGAACCAATTAATAATGTAGATATTGAAAGACCTCTTCTAGATTCTAGTTATGTTATTGTGGATTCTACAAATTCTTTGAAAGATATTAAAAATACAGACACTAAAACGGCTGTGGATCCAAATTTTATATCTGAATTCTATAGTAATTCAAGGTTACACCATATATCTCAACTTGGTGCATGTTTTAAGCAATACATCAATGATTTGAGGGAAAAAAGCAATTTTATATTTGCTGCACATATAAATTTAAGAGATAGAATAAAATCATATAATCAACATAGCAGTTTTTTCATGAATTTTGAATATAATAAAATAATTATGCACATTGATATGGATTGTTTTTTTGTATCTGTTGGTTTGAGGAAACATCCTGAATTAAAAGGCAAACCTGTAGCTGTTACTCACTCAAAAGGTGGCCTAAGTCAAAGAAAGAGATCAGGAGTTAATAGATCTGTAGAGTTTGAGCTCTATAGGCAAAAACAAGCTGGAAAACTGATAAAAGCTGGTGTTGCTATTAATGATATTGAAATTTCTACACGAATAGATAATATTGGTGATGAAGGTAACAAATTTGGTTCAATGAGTGAAATAGCTTCGTGTTCTTACGAAGCAAGAGCAAAAGGCATCTGTAATGGAATGTTCATGGGAGCTGCTTTAAGACTGTGTCCAGAGTTGCAAACTATCCCATATGACTTTGAAGGTTACAAAGAAGTAGCTTATACACTTTATAACACAATTGCTCAATATACACTAGACATTGAAGCTGTGTCATGTGATGAAATGTATGTGCATTGTACAGATCTCCTAAAAAATCTTAATGTCAGTCCTGAAGATTTTGCAACAGTAATAAGAGAGGAGATTAGAGAAAAAACTGGATGTCCATGTTCTACAGGTTTTGGAGGGAATCGACTTCAGGCCAGATTGGCAACGAAGCAGGCCAAACCAAATGGTCAATTCTTTTTAACTGCAAATCTTATTGAAGATTTTATGTTCGACATCAATCTCAAGGACTTACCAGGTGTTGGTAGACAAACATCTCAAAAATTAGAATCACTGGGTCATCAAACATGTGGATCACTACAATCATTAACTTTGGCATCTTTACAACAACATTTAGGTAATAAGACTGGAGCACAGCTCTTTGATCAGTGTCGAGGGCGTGATCGAAACCCATTGACATACCATACAGTCAGAAAGTCAGTTTCTGCTGAAGTCAACTATGGTATCCGTTTTGAAACAAATGATCAATGCTTTCATTTTCTGAATCAGCTTTCAGTAGAAGTTCAGTCCAGAATGCAACAGTTTAAAGTAAAAGGAAAGTGCATTACATTAAAATTAATGGTGAGAGCAGAAGAAGCACCAGTTGAAACAGCAAAGTTTTTAGGACATGGTTTTTGTGATGTCATAAATAAGTCTGTTTCATTGCTTGAAGCAACTAATGACTCTCAAATAATACTTCAAGAAGTAATATCACTTTGCAAAAAGCTCAATATAGATCCAAAAGAAATGCGAGGTATTGGAATACAAGTAACAAAACTAGAACAATTAAATGACAAACTACAAAAATCTAAAGGTGCCATAAGTAAATTTTTAAGCAATGTAACAAAAGATGAAAGACAAGATAAACCTAATTTGTGTATGAAAAATGAACCAGTTTCCCCTAAAAGGCCCCTGTTGTCACCTAGAAAAAAATCACCTATACTTGGACCTAGTAGATCACCTAGTAAACGAAGAGGAAGACCACCAAAAAACTCAAAATTGAGTACATCTAAAAATCTTATGGACAAGTTCTTGCAGTGTCCAGCAATTAAAAATGAATTTAAAAGTCCAATCAAGAATAAGTTTAAAGATGTTGAGGAACCAAAGAAGAATATTGAAAATATAGAAACAAAAAGAATAGTTAAATCTGGATTACTGGGGTTATCATGGAAACAAGTCCGTGAATTACTTAGGGCTTGGTTTGATAGTGGACAGCCACCAAAGCAGTGTGATGTAAATATGATCATTTCATATATGGAAGATATGATCTGCAATAAAAATATAGATAAGTTATATATTTTAATAAACTTTTTTAGAAGAAGAATACAAGAGATTAATAATGAAATATGGAATGAAGTTCTAAATTATGTTTTAGAACAAGTTCAGAGTGCCATGATGGCTGTGTATAATAAAAGGTTATATTTTGAAGATTGAATTTAAATAAAACAAGTATTATATTTACTTTTTACTTTATTTCATCTAGTGTTTCATGTCCTAACACTACAAAGAAAAAACATTATTCCATAAACACGGGTTGTGTCAAATAATACTGCCTTTAACTAATTTCATGTGGCAGGTACAGGCTAAAGCTAATTGGAAGGTAATAGAAAACAAGGCAAGTACAGATTAAAAACAGTATAAAACATTCATGCATTCAAAACGGTAACCACTTTTATATTAGAATGTACGTATATGTACTATGGTCATATATTATGTTGAAAATGGCAGTTAGTATCACTTGTTAAGCGTATACACATAAATGCCATTAGCATTTCACATGAAAAGCCAGACAATTTAAAATTTGGTGTCCTAAACTTGATGGTAAATTTAAGTAGGTAAGTTTTAATTATAATTATTATCACAGATACTTCATTGCGAAAATTAAAGAGGCATAATACAAGCTGCCCTTTGTGTAAAATGTATCGGCATATTAGAATTTCATTAGAATGAACCTTTTTGTGTAAAACTTTGGTGGGCCATTAAACAAGTTGATCCTTTGTTTACAGTGTATACATAATCAACAAAAATTATAACTGTTCTTGGGCCTAACTTATCATTTAGAGCGAATTGTATATCTTAAAATAAAAATAATTGTGCTTCAAAAATCAAGCTAAGCTTGTAACGAAAACTTACAACTCATTTGTGACAAAAAAATATTGTTACGAAGTAAACTACAATTTTGTTACGAGATATGATTATATATTATGATATAATTCTAGTATATTATCACTATAATTTGAAGACTTGTATTGGGACAAATTATAAAGGCTTTCAATTTAGACTAGAATTTTAACCAGAAGCAAAACTATTTTTCAGTAATTGTATATTTGTTACAGTTTATTTAACTCACAATTCAATCCAATTATAATGCGAAATGAATGTATATATTATACATTTCTAAATTAGTAATATAAAGAAAACAATTAATTTTGGCACTGCTATTAAATAAAATTATATTTCCACAGATTATTAAAAAAAATCTTGGCACGATATTTTAAAATCAGTACAAAAAGTACAAAGCAGTGCAGATAAGTAATAAAAAACAGATGTTTTCGGAAACAATCTAGAAAGTTGAGAATCAACAGATGGCTATAATAAATTTGCACAAAAAGGATTTTTTCAAGCTTAAAAATATTGTCCCTATATTTAAGTATTTGTAAGTGGCCTCACGCAGTAGAGTTAGCTGATATAGAGTGCTTGAATTTTGAGTCTATTATTATTTCGTCCCCTGAAGACATGTTGTACGAATATAGCTGTTTCGTCGGATATTTCATTTCTTCCGGACCCTGAAAAAAATATTTATCAAAAAGGTGTCTTCTGCTTTAATACAGTAAACATTCTGCTATTTTTCAGCGGATATTGAAGCAATAGATATATTTATTCTAAAACTAAACCATTTTTATATCCAGTAAATTTAAACAGAGATTTTATATTAATGTGAATAATATAGAGATTTAATAAAAATCTTTTTTTGTGTGTTTACCTGTGAGTCCCTCAGCTCTTGGTCCACGTAAAACAATCTCATCTTGGATGCGGGAAATCCAGCCAAACGCTCCAATCGCGTTTTTAAATCTGCTACAGTTCTGAAAGTAATTTTTCAAACCATCGTTTTTAATGCGGTTTTTAGACGACTTAAAAAAAGGACGTTATCAATTTGCATGTAACACTTTTCATTCAATATTTTTTATAATTATAATTTTAAGACTCGTGCTTTAAAACGTGTCCTAAATTTCGCAAGTGTTAGTATGTTTTTCCACAAATTCTTCGAGAGCTAAAAATGATATCGATTTGAACGAGGTAATGAACTTTGGGTATACGTTACATCAAAACCGGTTCAATAGTTTTTGAGATAAGGGTATTATATGCACGGCCTAGGTAAAAGTATTGACAGCTGTCAAGATCAATTTTTCAAAATTACCTCTGACGATCTAATCCAAAATATTCTATATAAAATTAAACATAAAATACGTTACTAGACGAACGACTTACTTCGCTCATTGTGTAAGGTGTTGCTGGCTTCGATTACCGGCGAAACAATTCCGCGTTCCGTATTTTAATAACATTCAGTAGTTGAAAGAGACAATTAAACGTTGTTTTAAATAGTAAATAAAATTCAATGGCAAAATTTCCAAATGATAAAATTTACAACATTCATTAAATATTACTCTTTTTAATCTCATAAAATCAACGAAACCCGTCACATGCCCCCCACAACGGGATGTTAGTCTTTGCTACGTTGATAAAATTCTCAATACCTGTAAACATCAACGGTCCTAACTTCGCTGGTGTCTCCACACGTAAAGGTAATTTGCACTCGCTTTTCTGGTCTCAGGTCAACGGAAACCAGCGGGTCCAGCTTACCGTGAACTCCCACTAACTCCCAGTATCTGAAAATGAAATATACACTAACAGTGCATGCTTCCAACAAAAAAAAATACACATTAAATTATTGTCATCTTTTCCCCATAACAGCTGCGGTAAGGGAAGCTATAGATTAATTATAGAACGAATAAAGTGGAGCTATATATAAATATAGTAATAAATTTTAAGAACTATTTATATTGGCAAATTAAATATACCTACCATATAACGGTTTTGAAGTAATGTGAATTATATGTTATTAAATTATAATGACAATGGCTGCCGATACCAGCACCATTGCTTCGACATATATAATTACATATTAGATTGTTTACGGTGCACAGAATATAAATACAGGCCATACTCAGACAATATTCCAAATGATTACCTTTTCATAGATGTAGTTGATATCGTAAACTTGGAATCGCGCGGTACAAAAACTCAAAAATCAATTCCAAATATTACAGAATAGTCGTTAGTTCTGCCCAAAATTTAATTGTTGCATCAAGCAATAAATCACGCTCTGCTAATTCTTACAATGACACGATGTTGTTTACGTAAAACAAATATGCAGTCTCGTAGGATGTAGTATGAAATGTTTAATTTTCTTTTGTATTTATGTAACATCGCCGCCTATAGACTCACATTGCTAGAGGGCTCGCAATTGCGTTGCCGGCGATTTAAGAATTGGTACGCTTATTAAAGGACCCTAAGTCAAAGTACTGTGTCGCCTTGCTGAGCACATCAAACTTTTTAGAAGCTAATTTAGCTTTTCCGTTCAAATGACCGCGAAAATGAACGTCATTCGATATGTCAACGTCCTGTATTCCGATGCTGGCTGTGGATTCGAATGGTCTTCGAAGAGAGAATAGCAATTTTATGTGAAAATCTTAAGGTAAATATGTAATCGCAATTTTTTTAGTCTATGATTACTTATATTTGATACCAATTAATAAGCGTATAATAAATGTTGAAATACACATAATAATATTTTTCCTCTTTACATTTAAACCTATAAATTAGCGTTTCTCAATTTTCGCAACGCACGCCTACAATTTCCATTTATGAAGAGCCTTCGACGAATGAATTGTTAATTAATTCAATTGTGACACAAATAATCATATCGTTCTTTTAAGCAAACAAATTTGTTAAGTTTGATAAAATTTACAATTTGGTTATTCCTAAAATATAAAAAAAATATCCAGAACGTGCGTCTTAGGGCCAGTTTTTTGATCCGTAGTAAAAAATGGTTTTACCATTTGTTACATTAACTATAGTTAAATGAATAACCATTGGTAAAATCGTAAATGCGTTTTTCAATGCCTTTTTTAACTATAGTTAAACTTAACAATTTGTCAATTTGTTGCCAGTGCAATGAGCAATGACATCCCAAAAAATGTGGTTCTTTTTTGTGGGGAACATTTATTTTGTATGACAACACTAGACATATTGAGTGAATGAAATCCATTTTTGCTATCTTCATTCGTTATTTGCGCTTTGAAGAGTTTGAAGTGTCAAATTAATCTAAATAACACGATATAAATAAAGTTGTTTTTCTGTGATTTAATACGGTTTACACTCTTTACGATACTTAAATATATAAATAACGATGTCCGCAAACAGCCAACGGTCAAATAAGTAAGTACAAACATATTTTCGTGTTATTTATTCCGGTTTATCTTGTGTTTCGTAATAGAAAGTAATACATTTATGTTTTGTTAAAGGGACCATACTGCTAACTTCGCCAAAAAAGAAACTGCCAAACTGGTGATGCTTCTCAAGGATTACACAGTCGTAACCTGCAAACAACTGATCACTGCAGCAATCTACAAAAAGATGCAGCTTGGAAATCTCTGTGACGTTTTCAACTCAGATGGGTCTAGACACCGAAGTGTTAAATTTAATATACATTTAATGAAGGTGTAGGCACATTTTTATATTTATTCTTGTATAGCTGTGTCCTACAACAAAAGGAAAAAATCTTTTAACCCTTTGGAAACAAGGAAGCGGATTATGATCCACACGGATAAAAAAAATTGAGTTTTTGAAACAAAGACAAATAAGAGAGGATGATTTGTTCAATTATGCTAAGGAAGAGCATCAAAAACATTTGCTGCACCAATGAGAGGCCCACCAAAAATTCATACTGCATAAAGAGAAGGTGCACCAAAAAGTGATGCAGCAGATGGAAGAAAGGCACAATAAATATATGTAGCAGCAAAAAGAGTTGCATCAAATTGAGGTGAAATGCAAGAAGAAACAATTAGAAAATATTTAATTGCTACTTTAGGGTTTCATGTAAATTTTGTAATGTTTTTTTAATAAAAATGGTTTGTATTTAAGTTATAATTAAACAGTTTATTAATCAAGTCAAATGTTTTATTTATAAATTCTTGTAATAAAGTAGGTAGATGCTAACTCACAAATGTAATAAAAGCCCTAAAGAATATCATAGGTCCCTAACTAATGTGTAGCTGTAGTTTTTAGTATAACTACATACTTGTATGTACTTATAATAATTATAAGTTAATATTATTAGTAATATATAAATAATATTAACTCTAATTCATTATGTATTCTATTGCCTATAATATTAACTTATAATAATTTTAAGTTAATATTATAGGCAATAAAACACATAATGAATTAGTAATATACTTAATTATATACTGCTGCGGTTCTGTAGTTAGTAATGAAGCAAAATAGGTTGGTATGAGCTGCTGTCTATATATACTCTTGTTCATTGGCAGTTTAAGATCATTCCCAATTTCAGTAACAATCCAGAGCACTGTTCCCTTCGATAGGGGTAACAGTGACAAAAATTTACATCATCCCAGGTTTCTAATGGCGGATGACATTGCCTAAATATTTTTGGTCACTCATTAACACATTCTCATATAATATTATCGTCTTCATCATCGTCTCATTAATTAAAGTATCTCAATATGTTTAAATTCATCATTAGATAGTAATAAACGTATTTATCATAGTTTGATTTCTGTGACAAACAGCTGTTACTATATAAATTACCAGCGGCCATCTTTTTAACCCTCCGATACTGAGTAGTTAACTTTTTTGACTAATGGTTAGATATTTTACCATTGGATGCTCTTACCACGGATCAAAAAACGCATTTTGCTGATATTTAACTAATAGTAACGATTTTTTACCAATAGTTGAGTTAACTACGGATCAAAAAACCGGCCCTTAGTCTATAATTTTAGATTTATTTTGATAGTTTCTGTCTGCACATTTATATAAAACTTTTATAACAGATTATATTATATTATTTTTTACAAACAATCATAGAAGATAGAATCCTAACAAAAACCAAAATCTTCTTATTGCCTGTGTTTTTCGATACATACATGAAGTTCTTTAACTCTTTTATAAATAATAACGAGTTTTTGTGAGGGCCCCTGTTTTGTGGCCGCCCCGGGGCTAGCCCCGGTTTCCCTCCCCTAAGTTCGGCCCTGATACTAAGCAGCAACTAACACACTAACAAAAAAAAGGTAGTAGTAATAACTACTTATAATATTATATTTGAAAATAAAACGTACCGATCCGGTCTGTCAGCCTCCGGTTTCTCCATGTAATATCTGATGAAGGCTCTTTCCGCCGCATCTCTCTCCTCTGGTGGAACAGCACCACCACCATTTAAGGTTCTTACGTGAGGCAGCCTCGCTACTAGAAGTAATCGTCGTTCGTGCTCTGTTGATTCTACACGCTCCCAGAGGGGCCAACCCTGGAATTAATGTTTTTTGTAAGAAATAATAATTGTTAGTAATAACTTAGGTCCCTTAAGATAAGAGCGTGCCAATTTTAAAAGGCCGGCATCGCACTCGCGAACTTTCTGGCATTGAGAGTGTCCATGGTATCGCTTAACACCACATGAGCCTCTTGCCCGTTATATATACTCGTATATAATACTAATAAGATAGTATAATGCAGATATATTTGTATAATAACTATGTAATATCTTGCGTAAGGATACTATATCTAGTTGGGCTGCGTACAATCGCAGCAGACGCTCTTGACGGGGGTAGGGTTAAAGGGAAACTGTTACCCTGCCTCCCATCCATAGCTAACTGATGAGGCTATTCGGTTTTAGTGGGTCTACGTCTACCCGTAAACTCTCCGTGTCACTTTTATAAATTACACCAAAAAATTACCGGATATAATACCTTACTATATCTAATTTCGGACACACTCAGGTTTTGGGGTAAGTTTAATATATGTTTTTGACATATGATTGCCATATTTACTTAAGTTTGTTATTTATTTTATAACGAACTTAAAGTAGTAAGTGCTTATTCGTTTAAATCAATATAATAATGTAAACTTTTGAGTTCGCCTTGATTTCAATTCAATTTACATAAATTACCTTAAGTTTAGTTCGCCAATTTCACTTAGTCAAATTCGATTTTTAAGCAATCAAAAATATTCTGTAGAAAGATTTTTGTTCAATGATTAATGAAAAATAAGTGTTCACCCTTCTACGTTATTGCGACTGAAGTCGAACGCGATATTCCGAGACCTTGATAATAAAACCTTTAATAAATATACAGATTAAAAACAAATCCGGGTCCAATACCAAAAGAGGTGCCATCATATTCGTTCACTGAATTAAAGAGTCACGATTGTACCAGGAATTATAATTTTAAACGAAGGCTATATCGAGAAGGTTTTCAAGGCTTAGACTACTTTCTATATAGGGAAGGCGTTTTTGTTTGCGGATTATTGTATTTAAGACGTGATCTATAGAAATATATGGATATCGTCAGTAACTTTTTATTAGTACAACTGGTGATGTTAACTGTCAAGTGGTTTATTACCATATGTATAATAAAATCTTATTTTATTTGCAGTTTCTCTCGGACACACAAATATAGTGTCAAAACATTATAGAACACTAAGACAGTTAATGAAAATTACCTTTTTATTATTTACAGTATGCCTATTTACTTAAAAGGCTTGGCGTCTCCTGCCGGGCCCGGGCGACAACTACTCCGGAAATATCCTCGTGATATTTATGGGCGAGTTGGAGCCCGCTGGCTTAACACTTTGTTGCATTACATATTTGGTAGATTCAGATAACATAAATTAAGGAGGCAATGGGCCTTATCGCTAACAAGCGATTTCCAGCCAATCCTATTAAGGAAAAAGAAATACTACGGGTACATTCAAAAAAGTACATTACTAAATTTAAAAAAAAACAAAAGCTAATCTTAAGATCCATTTTATCTTCAATCGCAGATTATAAAATGGTGTTTTAATTAAATGTTATTACATTGTTATGTGCATTTATTTATTTCTCGGATCGACCTTGAGTCTTGACATACAAGAAATCGAAAAGGTTTTTATGTAGTGTCAGCAAACATCAAAGAGTTAATGTGAAATATTTATTAAATAATATAACATATATTGGAAAAAACAATGCCAGCTGGGACTAAACGGCAGCTTAAATTTTTATAACACAGAACTAGACCGGCCTGGAATCCCACCTGATGATAAGTGAGATGCGGCCTATCCGAGGGCCTATCCAGGATTAAAGCTATATAAGTTGTTATATTAAGAGATTAATAGTGTGGTAGTAGTCTTCAAACATGTAATTAATTATTATTCAATTCCCTATGGAAATGACGTCAATAATTGGATTCATTGCGATAGGTAATAGAATACCCCACTTTCACATTATAATATTATTATCCGATCAAAATATTTAAATGCTTCTGGAGTCGTGCGTTCAAGTACCGTACAATACCAGATTCTTCTTTCTATGTGCGCAATTTGTACTTTAGTATAAAGGAAACATCGTGAAGAAACAAAAAAGCATTATGGCCAAAAGTTTATAAATAAAAAATATTAACCAAACATCAGAAATCCAGGGCCAAAACCAATGAGGGTAGTGGAGTATTTTGTAGAATTCTATAAAGTGCGTCATACCTACAAGTACACATTGCTATTGTACGACCTTCCACATTTGTCCGAAAGCGGAACACGGAACAAATTAAACTATGCATGCATCAGACTATGGTATTTCTCATATATGTTAAATTAATGATTGAAAAAATCAATAAAGATTACAGATCGATTTGCTGTTGTTCTTGCGAGAATCACGCAAATTTTTATTTCTTTAAATACATTAATGTAATACGCACAACGGACCTATTGAGAGTCAAGTGCGGAAACTGAGTCCACAAACCAATACATTTATATAACACTGAAGTAATTGGCAGGTTTAAATAAAAATATATATGTAATGTATTAAAGGTTAAAATTATATCAAAGACAGAGTAGATGGCTAGATTCGAATATTAAAGTATAAAATGCATGGAAGAAAGCAGTCTAGACCAGACAATAAATATAGCTAAGAAATATAGCACGTCTTTGTTGTCTGTGACTTGAGACATGCACCAAGTTCCAAATGAATAATATATCGTCAAATGTTTTACCCATGTTAGATTATTTTTGTTATTTGAGGGAATTCAGATCATTTGTTTTTAATACAGAGTTTAATGCCCTCTACTATTCTTTAAAATATTGTGATTTAAAATGCTATTAAATAAAGAATTAGTATTTTTTTTATAGAACAGGGGACAAACGGGCAGGAAGCTTTCCTGATGTTAAGTGATGGCAGAGGGCCGCAAGTGCTAATAAGAATTGGTATGCTCTTTCATGGACACCAAGTGGAATTGGTACGAAAATCTTTCAGTGAAAGATAAAAATAAGATTAACGTCGACATTGAGCTATAAGAATTACAGAGTAAGGGCGCTGGAGTTTCAAGGGATAGGAAATATATATTTTGCTCAATTGATTGCGTGTAAGACGAACCTTACGACCCTTGTTGACCTATACGTAAATTTAAATTCGGAACACCTGCTGGCCTTCCCCTGTTGGTAAAAAAATAAACATGGAATTCCAGTTGGAATTTCAACTCCGTCCAAAGCGGTAACGGATCCGTTCCGATTCATTAACAGCACTATCGATTTCGTACAGGGTACATGAATAATTGGCCGTACAATTGTACATGCATGATTACTATTACACGTAATAATATCACGGTATTAATGTAAATTATAGTATCTATATAATTATCGGTTCTATTGTTTTCTTAGAAGTCTTACGTATCAAAAGGACACTAGCCAATATTATTGATTTTATTAATTGAACCCAATCCATGGGACATTAAGATAAGCTATGCCTATGCCTGGCTGTTTATTTGTTGATGTTTAAATGCAAGATTATCGTATCTAATGGAAACAACGTACGATGTAATTAAAAAAATATTGATTTACTCTTCATTGCAAATAGAAGAATTAAATAAACGTAATCTCTACGTTTGCCAACGGTTGACCTTATCGCTAGTAAGCGATCTCTTCCAGGCACCAGGCAACAGGACCCTAGTTAAAGAAAACAGTAAAAATAACTCCGGAATATGTTCACTGTGTATAACTAAGAAAAACAATTTTAGAAAATTTATTCTGAAAAAAGCGAAAGTTTAGATCAAACTTTTACTATTTATCACGAACTATACCACGCTGTGTAATGTAAATTTCTATATAAGAACCTTAGCTTTTTAAAAGGAGTAAGGATATTATACGTCCATATTTTGATTTACAAATCACAAACACACATACAAATGTTATTTTAACCTCACATTCAAGAGAATGCATAGGAACAAATGGATACCACTTAACAGGTTATGTCGCTACCATAATGGCATTGAAGACTTTTGACGTGTTTATGAATCTATGGCCTCGGCTATAAGTAGGATTAAAACACTGTACTGATAATTAAATTCTTAATTCAAATAATTGAATTCTTTTTGCAAATTTATAATCTGTGTGTCTTGTAAACTATTTTGAGTTTAAATTTCTTCCTTTTTCTATTGTTTTTGTTATACCTTTTTTCGTATAGGGGCAACACCGTTTATATGTACGTCTATTTGTTTGTTATTTCATGTGTGAGTCTTAATTTAGTGGCCCAAAGAGGCTAGAAGTGTTAAAAAGCAGAAATAATAATTTTTTTAACCTGTGGAAATATACTTTTACTACGAAACTCCGTGAAAGGCAAAAGCCAGTAATGGCTTCCTTATTCGTGTTACTTCATTCTGTCGGCGAATGCGAGGCCTATAAAGTATTATATTTATACCTATAATTATTAACCGCTTGTGACTTAACATTAACCGGTGTATAATCAAGCGTTCCGCGTTTGCGTGGCGGGTTCTATCCCCGCCAAAAATTGTTTCGATCACTTTAACAAAAATTAAGGCAAAGTTATGCTGCCAACTAGAAACGCCAAATGGCTCGCTGTTGCGTTGTCGACTTTTGTATTTGGCTGACATATGTTAACAATTACCGTCAAAAGTAATAATAACAACACACCGGTTATATTGGCCAAAATCAAAGGTCCCGGCTGAATTCTATTGCATTAGGTTCTTAATAACAACGTCATCGGCTGTTACGACTATCGGTTTTTACGACCAAATATGAGTAGTCCCTTCGATGTCGTTATAACAGATTTTGATTGTATTCCGATTTGTTTTCTCTTTATCACGCTACAAGTCATATATGTACATATATTTTTGACCGACTCAAAAACACCTGCTTACAATTCGACATTTATTCTTTAGACAATTATATTTAATAGCAATATGCAGACTTTTTTGGAAACAAACACCCACCGCACCGCATCAAACAAAACGCAAACCCATATACAAGCAACCCAAAACTCGCACTTTC